GGGAAAACAGAGTATGAGTAGTCTTAGAACTGTGATAAATCCCTACAATGCAGAAAGAGGCATTTGGCCCATTGAGCCTGCACTGGCCCTCCAAAGAACATCCCACCTGAACCCACCCTATCCTCGGAAACCCACATTTACCGTGGCTAATCCACCTAACCTGCATATTGCTGGACACTACAGGGCAATATAACCCAGAGTACTTAAGGCAGTGGCTCTAGAAATAGTGGATGCATTACCATTCCACCTGTCATCAGTATTGGGGAAATGCTAGAGTCCATTATAAAATATTTAATAGCAGAGAACTTGGAAAACAGTGGCAGGATCAGATTTACAAAAGAAAAATCATGCTTGACAAAACTCCTGGTGTTTTTTGAGAATGTTGCTGGCAGAGTTGATGAAGGGGAGTCAGTGGTTTATTTGAAAATTCAAAGGCTTTTGACAAAGTCCCATATAAGAAATCAGTGTGTAAAATTAAAGCACATTGATTTGGGGGTAGTGGATTGAGATAGATAGAACACTGGTTAGCAGGCAGGAAACAAAGAAAAGAAATAAACGTGTCTTTTTCCGAATGGCAGGCAGTGACCCATGGGCCAACGCAGTGATAGGACCCCAGCTATTCACAATATATGTTAATGACTTAGATGAGGGACTAAAAGTAATATCTCCATGTTTTCAGACACCACACAGTAGGTGGGAACATGAGCTGTGAGGAGAATGCAGAGATGCTTCAATGTGATTTGGACAAGCTAAGTGACAAATGAAGTATATAGTGGATAAATATGTGGTTATCCAGTTTAGTAGCAAAAACAGAAAGGTGGATGATTATCTGTATGGCTATAAATTGAGAGAAGGGAATGTGCAATGAGACATGGGTGTCCTTGTACACCAGTTGCCGAAGATAATCACATGGTAAGAATCCTTTTCAATCTAGAAAGTGCCCAAATAATTATAGAGTAACAGTCATACAGCACAGAAACAAATCCTTCTGGTCATCCATGCTGACCAGGTTTTTTGAACTGAACTGAACCGTTAGCCTGCGTTTGGCCCATATCTCTCTTAAACCTTTCCTATTCACGTACCTGTCCAAATATCTTTTAAATGTTCTAATTGTACCTGCATTTACCATTTCCTCTGGCAGCACTTTCCATATATGCACCATCCTTTATATGAAAAAGTTGCTCCTCAGGTTCCTTTTAAATCTTTCCCCTCTCACCTCAAACCTACCTTTGGAAAAAAGACCTTGGCTATTCACCTTATCTATGCCGTTCATGATTTTATAAACCTCAATAACCTCAGCCTCTGATGCTTTAAGAAAAAAAGTCCCAGCTTATCCAACCTCTCATTATAACTCAAACCCTCCAGTACTGGCAACATGGCTGTTAATTTTTTCTGTACCCTTTCTAGTTTAACAACATCTTTCCCATAGCAGGGTGAATATGCAATATTCTAAAACTGGCCACACCAATGCCTTGTACAACCTCAACAAAATCTTCCAGTTTTTATTTCCCAGATAGTCTTTAAATATAGATATATATTCCTAAAAATTGAAAAGATTCAAAACCTAAAAATGGGGAGGATATTAATGAATCACCTTTGCTTTAGATGAGTCTGATTGAGAAACAAACATCTTCCTGAAAAGCAGAACTCCCTGCCCTATCATTGATGTCACACAACCATTTTATCGTCTGCAAACTTCTTCATTGTAAGAGGCAGGATTGAATATAAATCCTGGAACTCCCTATCTTAAAGCAATGAGCAGGAACATTCACTGCATGGACAACTGATCTTCAAGGCAACAGCTCACCACACCTCCAAAAAAGGCAATTAGGAATGGGTAATAATGGACCAGTAATATCTACATCCCATGAAAGTAAATAACTTATGGACATTTTCACTATAATACTGGTGCCATCCTGGAATCTCATTAATACAAAGCACTTTTTAGGGATGGTGGCCTTTCTTGCTGTATGAGAAAACAAAGGATCATCTCCCAAATGAGAACTATCAAAAGTATGATTTAAATATCTTCTCCATTCCCAGTAAATCCTAAACAGAGATAATTCTATTTGAACGCTGTAGATCACATGCACATTGCTGGACACTACAGGGCAATATAGTATAGCCAAACTTATAGCAGGAAACTGGAGCATTCAGAGGAAACCCATGCAGACGCCGGGAGAATGTGGAATCTCTTCACATGCACTTGCTCACCTCCCTGGTATTCCTCATCCTTCAAGTAAGCAAGATACAGTAGGGTTACCTCACAGTGATTAGCAGCTCCACAATTACATAGAGTAGCAATTCTCAACTAAGTATCTGCTATCTTGGCGGGATCCACAAGAAGTTTCAAAGGGATCTACCACATAAAGGTTTTAGATAAACCAAAGGCAGTGCTTAATATCAGTAATTAGACATAAATATTGCCGCCTCCTACCAGGCTCCTCAAGAACTGCAGCTGTAGAACTCTCATTGTTAATGAACTGGAGGCTAAAACTGCTCAGAGCCCCTAAGTGTTTGTCCTCCTGACAAATATGAAACAAGATCATCACTCAAATTAATCCAACGTGTTGTTTAATGATGCAACACCAGTATTTTCCTCTCTCTAGGAGGTTCTTGTGGTGCAGTGGTAGTGTCAGAAGTCCCACCTGCTTCAAAGGTGTGTAATAACATCTTTTCACAGGTTGATTAGGAAATAGTTACTTTCTTCCTCTATTACAAACTGAAACAGACATATGAAGAAAAGTGAAGCAATCTGATTTCAGTGGCCCCATAAAGTCAACATTGAAGGTGAAAATACTTAAGACCATTCCAAACAGAGAAAGAGATTATGTTAAGAGAGAATAGACCAAAAATTCAAGCTCTTCATCCCTTCAGAATTCTGACAGTCACCACAGAAAGATTGAGAGCTAAAGACTGTTGTGCTAGAACAGAACAGGACAACCATGAATCAATAATTCATTAAAATCAGTATCAAGAAAGGAAAATGGTTTAGATATAGATTCCAAACTCTATTACTGACAGAGTCCATTCACCGGTCACAGTTTTGGTGCATGTTGATAAGATACATTCTGGTCTATAACCTCAGTTCTAAAAGTACAAGATTGGAGTTTAACCCACAGTACTGGAGCTAATTTTCAAGGCAGAGAACTGGAATAATTTACTTCCCTACCTTCAGTGCAGTTTATAGGCAGAAGACAGAGTATAAGCCCACATCATGTTTTCAGTGTTTAAATCTAGTATCATTTATGGTCTCATTCACTACTAACCACTCCCGAAAGACTCTTCAAACAGGTGAGCATAATGGCCATCACTAAGATCACGAAGGAGCAGGTGCTGGGGAAGCTGAATGGCCTGATGGTGGATAAATCACCCAGACTAGATGGACTACACCCCAGGATTCTGAAGGAGATAGCTGAGGAGATTGTGGAGATATTTGTGGTGATCTTTTGGAAATCATTGGAGTCAGGGAGGGTTCCACAGGACTTTGAAAATGGCTAACGAAACACCTTGTTTAGAAGGAAAGGGAGTCCCCAGCAAGACGGAAAACTATTGGCCAATTAGCCTGACCTCAGTTGTTTAGAGTCTATTATTAGGGATGAGATCATGGAGTACTTGGAAGTGCATGTAAAGTAGGATTAAGTCAGCACGGCTTTGTCAAGGGGAAGGTCATGCCTGACAAATGTATTAGAATTCGTTGAGGAGGTAACGAGCAAGTTAGAAAAGAGAGCCACTGCATGTGATGTATTTGGATTTTCAGAAGGCCTTTGACAAGGAATCACGTAGGAGGCTCCTAAATAAGAGCCCGCAATGTTGGGGGCAAGGTACTGGTATGGATAGAGGATTGGCTGACTGGCAGGAGACAGAGAGTAGAGATAAAGGGGTCTTTTTCATGATGGCAGCCAGTGACTAGTGAAGTTGTGCAGGGGTCAGTGGTTGTGATCCCAACCATTCACATTATACATTAATGATCCAGACGAAGGAACTGAGAGCATTTTGCTAAGTCTGCAGATGACATAAAGATAGGTAGAGGGATAGGTAGTGTTGGGGAAGCTGCAGAAAGAGTTGGACAGGCTCAGACAGTGGACAAATAAGTGGCAGATGGGATACAATGTGGGAAAGTGTGAGGTTATGCAATTTGGTAGGAAGGAGAGACAGAATATTTTTTAAACAAGGAAAGGCTTCAGAAATACAAAGCACAAAGGGACTTGGGAGTCCTAATTCAGGATTCTCTTATGATTAACAGGTTGAGTTAGCAGTTAGGAAGGCAAATGTAATATTAGCACTCAAATCAAGATGGCTGGAATACAAGAGCAGGATGTACTACTAAGCCTGCATATGGCTTTGGTCAGACCATATTTGGAATATTGAGAGTAGTTTTGGCACCCATATATAAAGAAATGATATGCTGCCTTGGAGGAGGTTTAAGAGAATGATGTTGGAGATAAATGGCTTGTCATATGAGGAGCAGTTGAGAAGAATGGGACGTGTGGGGGCAGGGGAAGAGAATCTCAAGGAAGTTTATGGACTACTTAAAGGCTTGGATAAAGCAGACATGAAAACGATGTTTCCACTAGTAGGAAAGACGAGGACCCGAGGGCACAGTCTCAGAATGAAGACATGACTCTTTAGAACTGAGATGAGGGAGAATTCAGCCAGAGGGTGGTGCATTTGTGGAACTCAATTACACAGAGGGCTGTGGAGGTCAAGTGATTGAAGCAATGACAGATATGTTCTCTTAGTAAGGGGTTTATGGGTTATGGGGGAAGAAGGCAGGAGAATGAGGTTGAAAAACATATCAGCCATGATCGAATGGCAGAGCAGACTCAATGGGCTGAATGGTCTAACTCTGCTTCTATATGTTGTGGTCTTAACTGCAACATGGGAAATACACTGCTCCATATTAGGGGTTTCAGCAAATGCACGTTCACCGGTGGAAGGGTTTGCCCTCCTAGTTAATCAATCAATTTGCTTTTACCAAAAAAAAAGTCTCACCACCATGCAACAAGTTCTGTTTATTACACAAGTTCTGCCTCACTGCTTATACAAGAAAGTTAAAGAGTCTTTTAGCATACAGAGGTTTGGATCTACAACTTGACAAGTGCTGCTAAGCACCAGCAATAAATTTCACATTATGCAAAACAAATATTTTGTGCAATTTTTATACAGAATGCAATACAGCAAACTTTGTTTTAACTGGCACCTTATGAACCAGAGCTCTCGATAAACCAGCAAAAATGATCTATCTCAAATACCAGAAATTTACTGCATTATTGCAATGTCTGAGCTCTCTATCAGTAAGTTTTATTTAAGACAAAGTTCCATTATTATTTAAGTGATTTATGGTGTAAATAAAGTATAACAGTGATGTGTATACACTCTGCTTTCCGTTTCTATTACTTAGTTTTTCTGTTTTTACATTGATTACGTGGACCTCTTGATTGACCTGAATATTTGATCCTTTTGGAAGGAGTAACAGGAATAGAGAGTACTGGGCTAATGGTAAGATTCTTGGTAGTGTGGATGAGCAGAAAGATCTCGGTGTCCATGTGCATAGATCACTGAAAGTTGCCACCCAGGTTGATAGCGTTGTTAAGAAGGCGTACAGTATGTTAGGTTTTATTGGTAGAGGGATTGAGTTTCGGAGCCATGAGGTCATGTTGCAGCTGTACAAAACTCTGGTGCGGCCGCACTTGGAGTATTGCGTACAGTTCTGGTCACCGCATTATAGGAAGGATGTGGAAGCATTGGAAAGGGTGCAGAGGAGATTGACCAGGATGTTGCCTGGTATGGAGGGAAGGTCTTATGAGGAAAGGCTGAGGGTTTTGAGGCTGTTTTCGTTAGAGAGAAGAAGGTTAAGAGGTGACTTGATAGAGACATACAAGATCATCAGAGGATTAGATAGGGTGGACAGTGGGAGCCTTTTTCCCAGATGGTGATGGCTAGCACGAGGGGACATAGCTTTAAATTGAGGGGTATAGGACAGATGTCAGAGGTAGGTTCTTTACTCAGAGAGTAGTAAGGGCGTGGAATGCCCTGCCTGCAAAAATAGTAGACTCGCCCACTTTAAGGGCATTTAAATGGTCATTGGATAAACATATGGATGATAATGGAATAGTTTAGGTTAGATGGGCTTCAGATTGGTTTCACAGGTCGGCGCAACATCGAGGGCCGAAGGGCCTGTACTGCGCTGTAATGTTCCATGTTCTATGTTCTAACCAGCACGTTTCTGGTCCCACAGTTGCCGGTTACTAAAAAGCTTGCTGTACTGCTGCCACATTGAAAAGAATTCTTGGATTTTTTAAAATATAAAATGGGAGTACCAGCAAAAGCAAAAGGGTTCACAACACCAATGCAGAAAGTGGGAACTGTTCAGTAAAAGAAAATTCTGAACATCAGTGAATTCCCTCCAACAGACTCAAATGGCTTAGATTTATTTTGGCAACTGAAAATGATTTGCACTTCCACAAAAAGATATTCATAAACGAGAGCACTCGAGACAGTGTACATTGTCTTCTATATAAAACTAAGGAATCAAAAGTTCAAAAATAACTTGCAAATTCAAAGCCATCATCTCAATGAAGGAATAAAAAAAAAATCCAATTTTAAACAATTGCTTACTTTTTTAATCATGATAGTAAGGAGTAGATTGCCCAATTTTATTTACTGTACATTGACAAATTAGACATTTGTTAGTGACAAGTAAAGCTTTACAATTTATCTGTACAAATTTCACTGTAAAGATACATTTACTGACTGTTAATGGTTACACTTTACAAATGATCTTTACATCTCAAAACATATGATGCCATGATTAAAGAATAAAAAATGTTATACTTCTTTCTTCTTAATGATCAATGGACCCACATTATCACCCGTCAATTCATTGTGTTTGTTGTGAGACCCGTCACAAACCGGGAACTATGAAGAGAAAACAAAACCAGTCAGCTACTGATTACAGAGCACTGTACAAGCCTACAATCTGTTTTGGCTGTTACAGCAAACATTTTATATTATAAAATATGACATTTCCAATGTTAGAGGTAACCCAGTTTTAAGATGACATTAAATCACAGAAATGCAAAAGAAAGATTCCCACCACTTTATGTCACAACACTGATAAATAGTGTGACCTTCTGAAAATTAAATCATTGGGGAACAAACTTCATATTGGCCAGATTACTACAAGCTGATAGTTTGTGATTAATTGATAATGAATGACTAATAAATCATTGCTACCTTTCAAAATGCTTTAGAAAGGGGAGAAATTGCATAGATCTGCTTCTGCCATTCACTCATAAGGCTCTGAACCAACCACAGGACTCTCATTTTCAGCCTTAACAATGACAAAGGTTCATAACTGTATTATTGCTTGAGAACCTGGGTTCTGGACTGGATGAATGATACAGATTTAAATTTAACTTCACTTCTATAATAATATGCTAAGATGGGGCCAAGATGTTAAATTTCATTTTAAATTTGTCTCGCGAGTGGCATTGGGGTGTCTCGAGTTTGCTTATACGTGTACTTTAACAAGGCAGCTAAATCCTTGAGGTGCATAGTTCAGTGCACTAGAAAAAGGGTAGAAGGGAAAAAAAGCTGCTGTTGCCTAGCAGCACAAGCCCAATAACAAAGTCAAAATCATTCAAAAGAAGAGGCAAAGTGCATGTTCATTCAGAGAGATAAAGACAGATGTGCTTTTAGTTTAGCAGGCTCCACAAAAAAATTCATCCTGAAAGACTTAAAAGTCAGCAAGACAGAAGCTTCAGAGACAGAAGGTTTTTGGGGTGTCAAATAGGAAACTATTTTACAAGGCTATTGAAGACAGTTTAAAAAGAGCACATGTTAAAGAGTAAGTGAGCTTGATTAGCAGTTCTTTTAAGGGTCTCAGAAAAGACATTAACTAAATCATATAGCAGAGTGAATGCAGAAACATGCCGAAGACAGACTGATTAAAGCTTTGCCAAATGAGATTTGGCCTTAGCATGGAAGCAAGGTGACACTTAATTGAGATTTGAGTACCTGTGAAGTTGCTATTGCAGTAAAAGGGTTGAACCTGTCTGACATTTCTAATGAGTTTGTTTCAAATACTAAAAAAAAACTAACAATCTATCAAGCCAGCTCAGACTGAGATTGGGGTCTGCCTTGTCTAGTTTTACCATCAGCTGGGATCACACCAAAATATTATGTTTGATACGAGAATGGAAAATGCTGCAAAATAGTCAGCAGGTCAGGTAGGATCTGTGGACAGAGAGAGAGAGAGCGCGAGAATAAATATTTCAGGTTGATGACATTTCATCAGAACGGAGGGAAAGACAAATATGAGCAAGTGAAAGGTGGAGTAGGGACAAAGACCAAAAAGGTGTGGGATACAGTGGAGAGCAGGAGAGATTTAATGACAGGTTTCATTACAGGTACAGAAGCCAAAGGGAATGTGAATGAGTAAAGAAACTGAAATAATTGTGCAGAGGCCAGTATCCCGTCACCAAGTTACCCTCTATTTACTTGTGCACAGTATGTTGGTTGTGGCCAGCCAGCTTGGAGTCAGTCTCCTGAACTGAGGAGATTCTAAATCCCCGTTTATACATATTTTTCAGCACAGTACACACACGGAGGCTTGGTCCGCAGCTCATACACAAAAGTTAAGTCCAGGACCCATCCACTGAAATAACGGCACAAAGGCCAGGTCCCGTCACCAAGTCATCCTTCAATTCACTAGTTCACACAATACACTGGCTGTGGGTAGCCAGCTCGGAGTCAGATCCCCGGTTTATATTGGTCGGCCAGGGCTTCCCGATTGGCCCAGGTTAACAATCCAAATCAATGTCCTTGTAGTCAACAAGGTCCACCTGGTTTCTAATCACTACAGAAACAAAACACATATGTAGACGAAGAGTGAGCTATTGACATTGTTATATTTCTGAAGAAGGGTAACTGATAGGAAACAGTAACTGGTTCTCTCTCAGGTGCGGCCTGCCTGACTTGCACCGTTTTTATTTCAAATTTCCAGCAGCTGACGTAGTTTGCTTTCCTATTAATGATCCCTTTGAATCATGTCCAACAGTGTTAGTGTGAAAGAATTGACATGGTTGAAGAAACATTACGATATTCATTGCCTTTCCGTTGTCAACCCAAAACATTTTGGGTGAGAAGAATGAAAACATATTTAAGAACACAAATCTGTTTCCAGGACTTCCCAAAGTCATTAAGAAACAAATTATTTTTGAAGACTATTTTGCAGTCAATTATACAGACCAATCAGTAGCAATGGTCCCATACATTGTAAAGTCAACCTTGCCTTAAACTGTTCTTGATGCTCAACAGAAAATGCTGACAAGATCAATGGGAAGAATTTCCTGCTAAATAGTGTGACCTTTTGCATTCACTTAAATAAACAAATAAGATTTCAGCTCTTTTGAAAGATTGCATCTTTTGCCAATGCTGGAATGTGCACATGAACACCAGGCCATTCCACAAGTGACAAGCCTCATGGTCCAACCATGTCTTACACCTATTACCTAAATTTAATAGTCACTTTTGCCACTTGTGGAATTGTACACAGGATTAACTATGATCTTCAGGAGGGAAAGAAAAATAAAAAAGCCAACATAATTTATTTATCAACAAATCCTATTCAACTCATTTCAAAATAGGCTACTCTGAAGAATGTGAAGATTTGTCTGAATCATAGACTCTGATTTTGCCGCCTCCAGCATCCTGATTGAAGGATAACATCAGCATGAATTTAGACAGTCAAAAAATAGATCACACCAGATTATTTCAGTCAAATGTCAGCAACCTATTTCCTTGATAATTATGATGCTGCAGCATCGTAAGTGGTAAAAATTGAGCAGCAGACTAAGTGAACGTATGTGAACAAATTGCAAATAATCCTAGAATGAATCTGTTGCAAAATGAACTGACTTTCACTTATCAAGACTCCTGGCTTTGTTTTTTTTGTGGGAACAGTTAGCTATTTAAACTGAGTAGGTAAGTTCTTCCTCGGTGCTCATTATTCACTCCTTGAAATGTCAGGTTTACAATAATTAAGGTTATTGTTTATATTAACTTTTAAGTCACATGTTCTTTACAACAGTGGACAAGGGCTACTAGATTGTATGCTATTTGTTTTTACATTCAAATTGAGGAAAAATCTCCGATTAAAGAGGTCAATTAATTTGCTATATTGTCAGAAAATCATTTTAAACATGCCTGTGTCTAGGCTGCCCCACAGAATGCCAAACATCATTACCGTCTTTGATCGCCAACACCTGCAGTATGCTGCCTTGGTGAACTGTAGATCTTCAATGTTGATTTCATTAACCACTTTGGGATTTTCTTTCTGGATCTTTAGATTAATCAGGCTGTCTTTCTGCTGTTTCTTGCGGGGAATGAAAGGTCGTACAGCCAGGTAGCCGAGCAGTGCAAGAACCCCAAGAAATGGCAGTAATCGCAGCCATTCTGCGACTGTGGGCAATAGGAGGAGAATGAATTAGCAAATAAATCTGAAAAACAGCACAGTTCAGTAAAGTTATGAATGAATTTATACCCAATTATATTTTTATTTAATTAAAAGCACCAGATATTGAAAAAGTATGCTGCAAGTTGAACACTAATTTGGAAAAGAGAGAGGAAGGGAAAATAAAGTGAAATTCTGCAGGTTACCTCTATCTACCTTCAGTGGAGAAGGCAATGTTTTAGGAAGTGTTATTTTATTTAACTGAAAATAATGTGTCTCAAAACTAATGGGTGGATTTTAATGAAAACTTAGTACACAGATAGGGACATTTTTGGCAAACTTTCAGATATTAAAGTTAATTTATCATTGAAGACTGATTTACATTGGTATTATCCAGATAGCTGTAGCCTCACATTGCTACTGCAAAGAATGAAGTAAAGTCACCATAGTCCCAAAGGGCCACAGGGCCGCTCTCTTGAAAAAAAGACGACTGGTGGTCATTTAACCGAGGGTCACCATCCCTCAGGTGAAGAGAAAGGTTGAGAAGGAAAGACCTTTACAGCTACCTCAGCCAGTGGGCAAATTCAACTTGTGCTATTGGCATCATCCTGCATTACAAACCAACTGCCCAGTCAACTGAACTGCTAAGAATGAATATTACAACTAGAATAGTGTTGAAAATACAATATTCAAGATGTTTTTAAACTTAAGAAAGAGACACTGCATTATGCCACCGAAGCAGAACAATTTGTTTCCTTTGTAAATTTTATAATTATAGTAAAATAATAGCAAAAACATAGAAATGGCTCATGACGGAAAACAATGTATTAAAAGTGCTGCTGACATTTCTGTTTCTTTCACACAATAGTTTAACATGGATACAGAACTGGTTGGCAGACAATAAACAAACAGTAGGAGTAAATAGCCTTCTCCCAGAGTGGCACACAGTGACTGGTGGGGTATCACATGGATCTATAAATTAATTCTTTAGAAGAGGGAACTGAATACAACATCTCCATATTTTCAGATGACACAAAGCTGGGTGGAAAAGTGAACTGTGAGGAGGATGCAGAGATGCTTTAGTGCGATTTGGACAAGCTGAGTGAGTGGGCAAATGCATAGCAGATGAAGTATAATCTGGATAAATGTGAGGCTATCCATTTTGGTGGCAAAAACAGGATGCAGAATAACGATAGATTGGGAAAGGGTGAAGTGCAAGGAGACATGGGTGTTGCTGTACACCAGTCACTGAAAGTAAGCATGCAGGTGCATCAGGCAATAAAGGCGGTATGTCAGCCTTCATAGCAAGGACATTCGAGGACAGGAGCATGGATATTTTGCTACAATTGTACACAGCCTTTACGAGACTACACCTGTAATATCATGCGCAGTTTTGGTTTCCTTATTTGAGGAAGGATGTTACGGCTATGGAGGAAGAGAAACAGAATGTTTATCAGACTGATTCCTGGGATACTAGAAGAGTTGTGACAATATTCACTGGAGTTTAGAAGAAGGATGGGGGAAATTTCACAGAAACCTATAAAATTCCAACAGGATTATACAGGGTACTTGCAAGATTCTCCTGATGGCAGGGGAGTCCATAACCAGGGATCATAGTTGAAGGATACAAGGTAGGTCATTTAGAACTGACATGAGGAGAATTTTTTACACCAAGAGTGGTAAGCCTGCGGAATTCTCTATCACAGAAAGCAGTTGAGGCCAAAACACAATGTTTTAAAGAAGAACACCGGTATAGCTCTTAGGGCTAAATTCATAAAAGGGACGGGGAGAAAGCTAGAACAGGACACTGAATTGAATGATCAGTCCGTGATCATAATAAATAGCACAGCAGGCTTGAAAGGCCGATTGGCCTACTCCTGCTCCTATTTTCTATGTTTCCATGATTGAATTTTGCATTCAGTTTGAGGAAAAGATGAGTGACCTTGGGAGCAGACTAAAGTGAATGAGCAAGTTAGGTCAAAGGACACACTATACAGATGCAGTGGCAGACATTTAAGGGGCTATTTCAGAATGTACAGAGTAGATGCATTTGAAAGAGTTAAGAAAAATCCCACAATCTACGGTTAACTAGAAATGTTAAATATAGTATCAAACTTAAAGAAACAGTGTGTAAATGTGCAAAAATGAATAAACTGAACAGACAGAAAAACAACAAAAAAAAATGACAAATAAAACTGAGGGAAAATTAGAAACCCAGATTGAAATATAAACATATACTTGCAAAACCACTGAACTTTGTTAACTTTTAAAAAAAATTTGGATCCTACAGAAAATGAGTTTAAAACAGGTATTTTTCCACTATTTCTCACTACAGAGGATACACGTAACATCCCAGAAGTAGATATATATCAGGAAGTGGAACAAGGAGGAACTCAGGAAAAGTACATTCACCTGAGAAGTAGTATTGAATAAGGTTTTAAGGTCGAGGGCTTACAAATGCCCAGATGCTGATGGGCTCGCATCCTAGAGTCTTAAAAGAATTGGCTTGTGAGGTAGTTGATGTGTTGGTTCTAATTTTCCAAAATTTCCTCGATTCTAGTACAGTCATTGGAATCGAAGACAACAAGTATAACTCCTTTATTCACAAAGGGAGGGAAAACAAAGAAGAATAGTTAGCTTAACATTTGTCATAAGGAAAATGTTAGAAGCTACTATTAAGTGAGTTTTCAGGATACTTACATAAGTTCAAGGTAACTTGGCAATCAACATAATTTCCCTGTCACAAAACTATGTTTAATCAATCTATTGGCGTTCTTTGAGGAAATAACACGAGCTTTGGATAGATGTTGCTCAAATTTCCAAAATGCCACAAAGGTTATTATGGAAAATAAAAACTCATGATGTATTGAGTAGAATATTTGTATGGATAGAAGATTGACTAGGGATCAGGAAACCGAGTAGGAATAATGAGGCGGCTTCAGATTGGCAAGATGCAACACATGGTGTGCCACTGGGATTGATGCTCAGACTGTAACAATTTATAATTAATATAAGTGACTTGGTTCAAGGTATGCTTGCCAAATTTGCTCATGACACAATAATAGGTAGGCAAGTAAATTGCGAAGAACATAAGAAAACAAAAAAAAAATGTATAGATAGATTAAGTGAGTGATTAAGGGTCAAAAATCTGGTAAATGGAGGATAATGTGGGAAAATTCGAAATTGTCCATTTTGGCAGGAAAGAAAAGAAACATTATCTAAATGGTGAGAAATTGCAGAGTTCCAAATGTAGGGGGAATCTGAGCGTCATCACATATGAATTACGAAAAGTTTTATGCCAGTACAGCAAGTAAATTGGAAACCAAGTGGAATGTTATTAGTTGTTTTTATTTCCCTTAAATATAAAAATAGGAAGATTAAGCTTCAGTTATACAGGACACACGAGACACATGTGAGTAAGTACAGTATTGGTCACCTTATTTAAGAAAGGATATAAATGTGCGGAGGCACATATCTGGAATAGGCAGAATCTCTTACTAGGAAAGGTTGGACAGATTAGGATTGTATGCACTGAAATTTAGAAGAGCAAGTGCTGACTTGATTGAAATATACAAGATATTCAGGAGTACTAGCGGGTTGGATGGAAAGAGGACACCACCCGATAGGAGAATCTAGGCAACTGTATATAGCCCTCCGGACTCAATATTGAATTCAATAACTTTAGGGCCTAAACTCTCCCATTTCCTAGGCCCTTACCCCACACACCTGTCCTGGTTATCACAAAATTGTCATTACACACTGCTTATTGTTAGTCACTAACAGTTCCCAGTAACAACTATTTACCCTCCCAGCTAGATTATCATCAACTCCTTTGCCTATCCAGCAACAAAACCAGAAGTTGCTGGAAAAGCTTAGCAGGTCTAGCAGCATCTGTAAAGAAAAAAATCAGTTAACATTGTGGGTCTGGTGAGCAGTCTATCCAACTGCTCTTCTCTCTCTCTTTTCGGGCTGTATCCTATCATTTACTCCCTACCCCACCACCCCCTCCCTAATTTCTGCATATAAGCCGACGTTTTCCAGCTACCATCAGTTCGGAGGAAGGGTCACTGGACCAGAAAGGTCAACTCTGATTTTTTCTTCACAGATACTGCCAGGCCTGCTGAGCTTTTCCAGCAACTTCTGTTTCTGTTCTCGAAAGCTGTACCCATTGGTTAATGGAAGCAATAAGACAGACTTGCATTTCAATTGCACTATTCACAACCACTGGGCATCCCAAGGCACTCTCAGTCAAGTACTTTTAAACGAATCATTAATACAATGTATATTTAATTACTGAGGCAATTCTGCTCTCTGTTGACTACTTTTAAAACTACCCACTCCACAACTGTCTGGCAAATCTTCTCAATTAGAGCCAGTTAATTTAAGGAGATTGGTTATGTTTTGAGCTCAAGTTGCACTGTTTACCTGTCAAGTAGCATAATCCATTCTACCACATGCTGAACAGACACTTCCTCCTAGCCAACCCCATCACATATCACATAGTGGAAGCAGCAGACCCTGCGTCAACGCATCCAAGCGTTCAATTCCCTTCACCACTGATACACTGGCAGAAGTGTAGCAGATGCATTGCAGAAATTCACCAAGGCTCCTTCAATAGCACCTTCCAAACCTACAACCTCTAACATCTGAAGGACAAGGGTAGCAGACACAAAGGAACACTACTTGCAAGATCCCCTCCTGACTTGGAATATATTGTTCTTCATTCAGTGTCGCTGCGTCAAAATCCTGGAACTCCCTCCTTATCAGCACTGTAATGGTTTGTGAAGTCAGCCCACCATCACCTCAAAGGTCATTATGGACAGGCAACAAATGCTGGACCAGCAACTCTCATAAGCAGACATAAATGATGTATAAGTTTTATGCCAAATCCTTACCTAGCAAACGCTCCCACTGCTCAATGTTAGTTCCTTAGGAGGGTGCGTAATTGCTCAGTAACACAATTGAGCCTACCTGAGTTAAAGGTTCTGAAGCACTGTTGCAAACCTGAAACGCCAATTTCTCTCACCACAGATACTCCCGACCTACTCGGTTCCTGAATAACAACTGACAATACTTCAACGGTATTCTATTGGCTATACATTGCTTCAAGAGGTCGAGTGGTTATGAGAAAAGTAACTATTTTTCTTTCTTAGACAGTCCCTCAAGATTGAAGATTACTTGCTCCCCTTCAGGTTGCAAGATGGCTCATAAGTCCGATGCTTGATATGCAGACACTGCCAATGCTGCTTGAACGGTTGGGTAATATGAGCTTTTCATAGCTTCTACCAATGCCTTAATGTTGCCTCTGCCTATCCTGAAGACTACTGATGTGTTCAGTTAAAGACAAAATAAAACTGCAGATGCTGGAATCCAGGTAGACAAACAGGAGGCTGGAAAAACACAGCAAGCCAGACAGCATCTGGAGGAAAGAATCAGTCAATGTTTCGGATATTACAGTTCTTCAGGACTGTATGTGGGACTTGAGAGAGCTGCAGATAAAAGAGAGAGGTGGGGGAGGAGTGGCCTTCTCCATTCTGCTTGACCACAAACCAGGAAGTTGCATGTGAGACTGATGAAGGCAGAGCGGTGGACTTTGTCTATATAGCCTTCAGCAAGGTACTTGACAAGGTTCCGCATAGCAGACTGGTTAGCAAGGTTACATCACATAGAGTCCAGGGAGAGCTAGCCTTTTTAAGTAACATTTTTGCCACACAAAGACCAGGCTATGACCATCACCAATAAGAGACAATGTAACCACTGCCCCTTGACATTCAACGGTGTTACCATCACTGAATCCTCCACTATCAATGACCTGGGGTTTAATCACTGACCAGATCCTCAACTGGACTCAGCACATAAACACAGTGGCTACAAGAGCAGGTCAGAAACTAGGGATACTGCTGTGAGTAACTCACCTCCTGACTCCCCAAAGACTGTCCACCAACTACATGGGACAAGTCAGCAGTGAGATAGAATACTCCCTGGATGGGTGCAGCCCCAACAACACTCAAGAAGCTTGACATCATCCAAGACAAAGCAGCCTGCTTGAATGGCACCAAATCCACAAACATGCACTCCCTCCACCACCGAGGAACAGTAGCAGCAGTGTGTACTATCTATAAGATACACTGCAGAAATTCATCAAAGATCCTCAGACAGCACCTGCAAAACCTACAATCACTTCCATCTAGAAGGATAAGGGCAGCAGATATATGGGAACACCACCACCTTCAAGTTCTCCAGGCCACTCACCATCCTGACTTGGAAATATTTTGCCGTTCCTTCACTGTTGCTGAGTCAAAATCCTGGAATTCTCTCCCCAGTGGCATTGTGGATCAACCCACTTTAGGTGGACTGCAGTGGTTCATGAGGCAGCTCACCACCACCTTCTCAAGGCAAGTAGGGATGGGCAATAAGCACTGGCCAGCCAACGATACACACATCCCACAAATGAATAAAAACAGAAGTTGCTGGAAGCTCAGCAGTCTGGCAGCATCTGTGAAGAAAAAAATCAGAATTAACATTTCAGGTCCAGTGAACCTTCCTCAGAACTGTTTTGAGGAAGGGTCGCCAGACCCAAAACATTAACTCTGATTTTTTCTTCACAGATGCTGCCAGACCTGCTGAACTCCCAGCAACTTCTGTTTTTTGTTCCACAAACGAATAAAATGTGGATACAAAATTGGCTTGAAGGTAGGAGACAGAGGCTGGTGGTGGCTGGCTGCTATTTGGACTGGAGGCCTATGACCAGAGGGGTGCTGCAAGGATTGGTGCTGGTCCACCGCTTTTTGTCATTTTACATAAATGATTTGGATGTGAATATAAGAGGTATGGTTAGTAAGTTTGCAGATGAAACCAAAATTGGTGGGGTAGGGGAGGGTGAAGAGGGTTATCTCAGAGTACAACAGGACCTTGATCAGATGGACCAATGGGCCGAGGTGTGACAGATGGAGTTTAATTTAGATAAACGGGAGATGTTGCATTTTGGCAAGGCAAATCAGGGCAGATCCTGTACACTTAATGTTAGGGTTTCGGGAAGTGTTACCAAACAAAGAGACCTTGGGGCATAGTTCCTTGAAAGTCGAGTCGCAGGTAGACAGGGTCGTGAAGGCGGCATTTGGTACACCTGCCTTAATTGGTCAGTGCATCACATGTAGGAGTTAGGATGCCATGTTGTGGCTGTACAGGACATTGGTTAGATCACTTTTGCATTCAATTCTGATCTCCCTGGTATAAGAAAGAAGTTAAAATTTAAAAGTGTTCAGAAAAGATTTACTAGATTGTTGCCAGGGTTGAAGGGTTTGAGCTATAGGGAGAGGGTGAATAGACTGGAGATATTTTCCCTGGAATGTTAGAGGCTGAGGGGTGGACTTAGAGGTTTATAAAACCTTCAGGGGCATTGATAGGCTGAATAGGCAAGGTGTTTTCCCAGAGATGGTAGAGTCCATAAACTAGACAACATAGGTTTAAGGTAAGAGGGGAAAAGATTTAAAAGGAATCCGAGGGGTAACATTGTCACACTGACAGTGGTGCATGTATGGAATGAGCTGCCAGAAGAAGTGGTGCAGGTTTGTACAATGACAACATTTAAAGGGTGTCTGGATGGGTAATTGAATAGGTAGGGTTGAGACAGATATGGCCAAATACCAGCAAATGGGAGTAGATTAATTTAGGATATCTGTTCGGCATGGATGAGTGGACCAAAGGGTCTGTTTCTGTGCTGTACGTCTCTATGAGTTGGTGAGTAAGTTTGACCTCTTCAAGAATGTTTGGAAGACAGAAAAAGAAGTGAGAACAAGCCACATGATGAGTTGGAGGCTGAGATCACACAGGATGAGAAGTCATTTAGTGCAGAAACGGAGGGGGGAAAGCAGTGAAGAAAGGTGGTGTGGGACTAGAACAAGGGGAGATGCTCAAACAAGGAGCAAGTGCCAGAGAAGAGAGCCAGACCAAGGTGTGAACTGATGATACCTGCCACACAGGCACTGCATCAGGTTGTAAGGTGTCAGTGATGGGACCGGTTCCCATTTGGGGTCATCAGATGCGGGTGGCTGGGAGTACATGGCCGTTCTTCAGCATGTGACAGGTAAGCAGTGGAACTTGAGGTCAAGTCATAACCATGGTCCTCGAAAAACAAATTTGAGGACCAGAAGTCTCCTACTGTAACAGGCAACCTTGGAAGGCAAAATGCTGTGTGCAGCATTTTGAGAGATTAACATCACTGCTATAAGACCACCTTTCTTCTCACTGGATTTGGAGGATATTGCTTAGACACTGCTGCTGGTACTTTCACAGATCTTCAGGGTACCTACTGTACATGTTTAAGCCTCTAAAGCATTAGGAGCAGATGGATCACTGCTGTGTGGCAAACTATGATCTTGCTCCTGTCTGAGATCCTGCTGCTCAAACATTCCTTCTTCAATCAGCTGAAAGGTGAGCTGGTACAGTGAGGGGAGTGATGAACTTTGTCATCTATGCCTCCCATCATCAAAAAGGAGGATCACAGCATATCAAGAAGTTTGAACGTTTTCCAGAATTTCACATTGATCTTGGTGGTTTGCTGGTTGCAAGATGATGTTGATTTTCCAGGTGTTTAGTGAATAGTACATCCTGATCAGCGAATAGTACATCCTGGAGAAAGAGCAGACCACAGCCTCAGACACACACACACACACACGATCAGGCTACAGCACAATGACTGACAGACACTGGGGTATCAATCAGAGGTGAAGACTCGCTGTACCTGCCCAAACCGGTATAAGGCTTCACCCCCAAACCATTCCCGCGTCCATGGAGCCCCCAACCTCGGGCTCTCCCGGCCTCGAGCACTTTCTCTCTCTCTCTCTCTGCTCTGTCTCTCGCTCCGTCCCGTGACCAGGGGCCCCCCACATTCGCTCATCCCGCAGCCCTAACCTGTCAACCGGGCGAATCCACCCAGAGTCTCGGGAATAGGAATCCGCTTCAAGTAGGCGGGCAGCTGCACTTTGATGATCCTGGCGAGTGTGTCGAGCACCATGTTGGCGGGGACTGCACTTGGGCTCGGGCTCGAGCTCGAGCGACTCCGGGATAACGAGCTCCGCGCGCGCTGAGCCAAGCCCCGCCCCTTCAGCCGGTCACCTGCGCGCGCACCTAGCGGGCGCGTACCATGACGTCACCGCACCGCTGATTGGCTGCTGCGTAACTGCCAAATGGCCGCTTCTGATTGGTTCATGCTCAAATGACCGGAAGCGCGGGAAAGAGCATCCTTTCAAACCACCGGAAGAACTGCGGACGCTGTAAATGAGAAACAAAACGTTGCTGGACAAAAGCTCAATGGGTTTGGTAGCATCCGAGTAACAGGAAAGTCAACAGTTTGGACCGAAACCCTTCGTCAGGGGCGAGGACGTAGGGGAGCTTAAGCCCTAAAATCTTTGAACTCGATATCGAGTCCTGGGGCTGCAGGGAGCCCCAAGTCGAAAATGAGGTGTTGTTCTTCCACCTTAGGCTGAGCTTTGCTGGAGCACCGCAGCAAGCCTGAAACAGAGATGTTAGCCAGGGAACAGAGTGGTGTGTTAAAGTGAAAGACAACTGGAAGCTCAGGGTCTTTTTTTGCACTGCCTAAATGCCCCGCTGCCTCCCCCTTCCCCAATGCAGCTCCCAAACAGAGATGTTGGCCAAGGAACAAGGTGGTATGTTGAAGTGGCAGGCAACTGGAAGCTCAGGGTCATTTTTTGTAGACAGAATATAGGTGTTCTGCAAAGCAGTCACTGAGCCTGCACTTTGCTTCCCCAATGCAGAGGAGACCAGATTGAGTGAAATGCAGATAAAGGGTGTCTGGATGGGTAACTGAATAGGTAGGGTTGAGAGAGATATGGGCCAAATACCGGCAAATGGGACTAGATTAATTTAGGATATCTGTTCGGCATGGATGTGTGTTTGGGGCCTTGGATAGTGAGGAGAGAGGAAGTAAACTGGCAGGTGTTGCACCATCTGCGATTGCAGGGGAAGGAGCCCAGGGGCTGTGGGGATGCTTTACCTGTACTTCACTCACTCTTGTCTACTCTACCCGCTCCTCTACTATGGGGAAGCAAAGTGCAGACTCTGTGACTGCTTTGCAGAACACCTACATTCTGTCTACAAAACTGACCCTGAGCTTCCTGTTGCCTGCCACTTCAACACATCACCATGTTTCCTGACCAATATCTCTATTTGAGGCTTGCTGTAGTGATCCAGTGAAACAGCACAAGCTGGGAAAACATCACCTCTTTCTGTTTGGGATCTCTGCAGCCTTCAGGACTCAATATCAAGTTCAAGAATTTTAGGGCCTGGGCACCTTCTTTCATGTCCTTATCCCAACCCCTGTCATCAACAAAAACAGAAATTGCTGGAAAACCTCTAGGTCTGGCAGCATCTGTGAGAGAAATCAGAGTTAATGTTTCTGATCTGGTGATCCTTCTTCAGAACTTTTTAAACAAAAAACTGCTGCCTTTGTTTTTTATGTTTCTAGGAGACCTTATTGAAACATATTCAATTCTTAGGGAACTTGACGGGTTAGATGTGAAGAGGTGGTTTTCTGTTGGGGAGAATCTAGGACCAGAGACATGATCTCAGAATAAGGGGTCACCCATTTAAGATAGAGATGAAGATTCTTTTCTCTCAGAGGGTAGTGAATCTATGGAATTCTTTACTGCAAAGGGCTGTCAGGGCTGGACCAGGAAACAATTATAGGCAAAGATAGCGAAGTGGAGATCATTCTTTTTCTCTTCCTTATGATTTTTTGATGTTGACATAATGTTGCTTGAATGCCAATGTTCAATCTTTTTTTCACTGTTTGAGAATTTGTCCTTTCAGTATCTCTTCAGCCTTTTCGTTTCTCCTCCAGCAGAGACAGGTGAGAGAAAGCAAGCTATAACTGGAGACTTTTTGGTACGTCCTTACAGGACTGAAAGACAGACAGAGAGAGAGATTTTTGATGCAGATTAGATGTTTGTGCTACACTGACTTCACACAAGCTGTGGTCATCTGGTCAGGAGCCAATCAAAATGTTGTTGTCCAGCAGTTGTCTCATTGGTTCAGAACTTGTTAGCTCTGTTCCATCTGCTTTTGCTCTCACTGTTCCAGGAAAAAGGCAACACTGTATACAACTCATGATGTGCTCCAGTAAACACGATTTTAAAAACTGCAGCCATCTCTTGTATAGTCTGAGAAAGTAGGAACTGCCGATGCTGGAGAATCTGAGATAATAAGGTGTAGAGCTGGATGAACACAGCAGGCCAGGCAGCATCAGTGGAGCAGGAATGCTGACGTTTCGGGTCTGGACCCTTCTTCAGAAATAGTTGTCTCCTCGGTTGCACAGTCTCCTTGGTTTAAAGCAGTACATTCTTTATTTTTGGATTGTGGACCAAAAAAAACTACACAAGTGCAGAGTGATCCAATGTCCTCATACATGAATCGCAAGTGTTAGCGTATAGATATAGCATATGATTAGGAGGGTTGTGAATTTGGCCCTTATTTAAAGGGGTTGGAGTATAAAGGATAGGAAGACTCAGTACAACCGTGCACAGAGTTCCGAGAAGAACCAGGAGGCCTAAGCGTTAAACAGCAGCCTTCTTATTTAAAGAGGGATTTTTTTTTTGTATTGGTGGCAGTCCAAAGACTGTTCACTAAATTAATTCTGAGGAAGAGTTTTCTTAAGTGGAAATATTGAGCGGATTGGGCCTAGCCCAGGAGTTTATAAGAATGCGAGGTCAGTTCATTGAAGTGTAAAATTCTGAGGGACTTGACAGGGTAGATGTTGAGAGAATATTTCTTCTCGTGGGGGTTCTTGAACTGGAGTCCACAGATTAATTTTACGTGTTTGAGAGGTGTGTGATAACATCTCTGAGCAGGTTGATTAGAAAAATAGTTTTAAAGGATCTCCCCTTTAAGGCAGAAATGGGAGGAATTTTTTCTCTTAGAAGATCATAAGTCTTAGAAGTCTGTTCCTCAGAGAGAAGTGGAGACAAGCTTTCAATCTATGTTTATGGGAGGCAGGCAGCAAATCAGTGTGAAGACCATATCAGATTAAACATAATTTTAGTGAATGGTAAAGTAGGTTTGAGAGGATGAATAGCCTGCTCCTGCCCTTCCTATTTCTGATGATTTTATGACAAAAGGACAAGAGCAACAGATGTATGGGAACATCACCACAAGTCACTCACCATCCTGGCTGAAAATATATCTCTGTTCCTTCAGTGTTGCTGGGGCAAAATCCTGGAATTCTCTTTTTAACAACGCTGTGGGTCTACCTACACCAACTGGACTGCAGTAGTTCAAAAAGGCAGCTCACCATCACCCTCCTGAGGGCAACTAAGAATAGGTAGTAAATGTTGTCTTTGTCAGAGACATCCGTATCCCACATGTAAATAAAAAAAATAGTAAAAGCCATAAAGACAGAGATAAATGTAGCTGAATGTAGGAAAATGACAGGAGATTGAGACTACATAGCTTTGTCCTGTAATGAGATTTTATGATGTAATTGGCCACAGAGATGGCACTTTGGACAATGAGAGAGATAATGTTTGTTGAAAATTTGTTTGATAAAAATAAGTAGAGACAATCTTGATTTGTGATCACAAGACACACAGATGTTATTCAGTCCATCTTAACTTGTTCGTTGTGAAAGTTCCCACAACCCCCCAATTTCAGCATTTAATTGTGTCTCAAATAATTCCATTGTCCCCACGTCTTTTACTTGATCTGAAAGTGAATTTGAATCAAGTGTTTATTACTCATGGTATGAAGAAGTACTTCCTCATATCATTTTAAATTTATCGGACACAGGTTTCAATTTGACCCAGGGTTAGTAGGAACTGCTGATGCTGGAGTCTGAGATAACAAGATGTGGAGCTGGAGGAACGCAGCAGACCAGGCAGCATCAGAGGAGCAGGAAAGCTGACATTTCGGGTCTGGACCCTTCTTCCTTCACACCTTGTTATTTCAATTTGACCCATACTTTAAATTTTATTTTATGTAATATTACAGATTAGCATTTTCATTTCCTTAACTTTCTTATGTAAAAACGCAGATTTGAAGCAGAGTAGGCCTTCTCTGCCATGCAATAAGATCATAACTGATCTGTTTGGAGAAGCTGGGGCTGTTTTAATTTGAGAAGAGAAAATTGAGAGGAGATTTGATTCTGTTCAGAATTCTGAGATCTGGATTGAATAATTAAAACTGTTCCCATTCGGCACATGATTTGAAAAACAGGACAAATCAGAATTGGATAAGTAACTGAAGGAAAAGCGTTTTAGGGCTATGGGGAAAGGTAGGAAGTGGGATAAATCTCTAGTGGAGCTGGCAGTACATCAAAGAGCTGAATTGTTTGTTGTGTTGCAACCATCACATGATTCAGTAATTATTAGATTATCTAGTTATTTATCACATTGCAGTTTACGGGATCTTGCTGTGTGAAGAATGACTGCAATGTTTCCTACATTGCAAGAACGACTATACTTTAAGAGTCTGTTTCTGGTTGTGAAGTGCTTTAGACATTCTGACATTGTGAATGTCTTCCTTATTATAGGAGCATCACTAGCATCAGTCCACCTGTTAGTGGTGCTGTGACACTGGTTTTTTAAAGCAAGTAATTTATGAACTAACAGTATGTGACCAGCTTACCTGAATTTCAGATAACAAGGTGTAGGGCTGGATGAACACAGCAGGCCGAGCAGGAAGGCTAACATTTCGGGCCTAGATCCTTCTTCAGAAAATACTTACCTGAATTTAACCTCCTTCTTTGAGGTAGCCTAAAAATTCAGGGTGGGCAAACTTATTCGCTGTTTAAATCTCGTCATCTACAGAGCATTTAGAAAGGTTTTGGGATTCATAAAGTTTCACTGCTGTGCAATGCCTCATCCATACAACCTGTGGTGACTCTTTCTAAACTATAATGGGATTGATTTCGTCCATCAACAATCATAAAATGCTGCACTGCCAACTACCAGGCAGCTGTGAACAATTCATGTTACATCTCAATTGTCACAACAGGAATTGGTTAGAATGTGGAACTAGCTACAGCAACCACCAAATTTTATATTTATCCAGAATCTTTAATGTAATACAGGAACATCATAGAACAAAGTTGTGAATGACACTGATTCACATCAGGAAATATAAGGGCAGGTGATGAAAAGGTGGGTTTTAAAGAGGAAGAAAACCATAAGTTGCAGGAAAAGCTCAGCAGGTCTGGCAGCATCTGTGAAGAAAAATCAAAGTTAACGTTTTGGGTCCAGTGACCCTTCCTCAGAATGCAGTTCTGGTTCTGAGGAAGGGTCACCGGACCCGAAACGTAAATCCTGTTTTTTCCTTCACAGATGCTGCCAGACCTGCTGAGCTTTTCCAGCAACTTGTATTTTTGTTCTTGATTTACAGCATCCGCAGTTCTTTTTGTTTTTATTTGGGTTTCAAGGAGGGTCTTAAAGGAGGAAAGCAAAGTAAACCTAGAGAAAAGGTTGAGGCCCAGGTAATGCATAAAGCAGTTAAAATCAGAAATGCAAAGATACCTCAGAATGGTGGAATTGGAGAAGTTTACAGAAATAAGAAGAAGCAAGGCCATAGAGGGATATGAGCACAAAGATGAGAATTTTAAAATAAAATGGGATTCTTCTACTCCTATTTGCTGTATTCTGATGAAATTAACACGCTTTAAGATCTCAGAATTAATGACTTTATCCCATCATGAGATACATAGAATATGCAAAGGTGCAAACTGTTCAGCGTTTTCATCTGCCTGACATGACCAGGTGTCTCCACTGTACAGGAGTGTGCTGAAGATACAGGCTTGGCAAACTTGCAGTTTAGTGTTCTCAGGCAGGTTGCTGATTTACACTGAGTTAGCATGGACATGACAGCTGCATCTTTTATAATGCATGTGTTGGTTTCAGTATCATGTGGCGGATTGTTGGACATGCAACATGTCACAGGTCAGCTGGCCATCACTGTGCAGCCACTGGTCAGCTGGCAAATAGTATGAGTCATTGGTCAGGGATTTCTAGTTGAAGGCAGTTTCCACAAGTATTTGTTTAATGGTCAACAGCACTAATTATCAAAATGTGACCAATGGTCAGCTCCTCATCAGTAAAAATCACCATTGTCTTACTGGACCATAGGGCTTCTCTCATTAGAGAGGGATGACCTGTAATGATTTAGCTTGAGGGTCTCCACACCTCAGTTGAGGAGAGAAGTTCAGAAAGAGAATTTTTCATGGTAACCTCAGCTAGTCTGAGAATTTAACCTATGCTATTGGCATCATTCTGCATTCAAACCAGCTGTCCAGCCAACCGAACTAACCAATGCTCCCCTCCTCCACTAGCCATTGGTTACTATTTTTCCAGCCACTGATCACCTTTCTACTGGTCTCCATTATTTGGTCCTTGTTACCAATCTCTGGCCACTGGTCTGTATATCCAGCCCTGGTCTCTATTATCTGGCCCGGCAGCAACTGTGGAGAGAAATCAACGTTAACGTTTCGGGTTGAGTGACCCTTCCTCAGAACTGGAAGAAGTTCAGGAAGGGTCACTGGACCTGAAACGTTAACTTTGATTTCCTTTCACAGATGCTACTGGGCTTTTCCAGTAATTTCTGTTTTATGTTTCATTATCCGCTCTGGTCAGCAATGTCCGGACCTAGATACCTTTCTGCAGCCTCTCATTTGCCTAGGTTCCGGCCAAGTCTGTAACATTTGGACAGTGCCATGACCCGCGCAGACTCTGTGAAGGCTTGATGTTGCAGATCTGCAGGAAGAAAAAGGCGCGTGAACGCGGCTCGGGACCGCGCTTGGTTGCAATTGACAGGAGGAGCGGGCGCCATTGGTCTCGCGAGATGTCCCATGCACTGTCGGCCTCGGCTGCTGTAGCCTTCCGCCCAGCCTCAGCGCGCGGCTTTGCGGACTCTTTCTCGGGCGGTGATGAGGGCGGGAGCGGAGTGATGTGACTCCGTGGGTGGGGGAGGGGAATGTAGTTCCGGTGGCCGCCATCTTGTGGCGAGTGTCCGCTAGACGTAGCGGACCGCAAGACGTGGGATCCCGAGCCGGGGGCCCAGCCGCCGGGATAGAGCCGGACAGCAGCAACAATCTGCCATCTGCTCACAGCTTCCCGCCTTACCACCGTTCCCATCCCAGCGGCTGAGGCCGGACCGCCTGCCCGCCCGCGGGATGGCGTTGAAGCGGATTAACAAGGTAACAGAGCGATGCTGGGCCTCTCCCGGGTTTAGCTTGTTCTTCCGCCCTAGTCTGGAAACACGAGAGAGAGAGAGAGAGAGGGGGGAGGTCGGCGAGGAGCCCAGCCGCGTAGCCCCTCCTCCTCCTCCCCCCCTCACATTTACCTATTCTCATTAGATAGAGGCCTGAGTCAGGGTGGGACCGAGACTGGACTGTCCACTAACCACCCCTTGAACCCCCAACCCACCCTACCCTCCACACACCCCCCCCCCACCCTACCCTCTCCTCCACACACCCCCCACCCTACCCTCTCCTCCACACACCCCCACCTTCACATTTCCCCCCAAACCCCACCCTCCTTGACCCATTCTCCTACCCCACCCTGTCCCCATCCCTTGTCCCCTACCCTTGCCCCCTTGTCCCCACCACAACAATTAATTAGCTTTACTTGCTGTTGGTTTGCAATGAAATACTCATCTTAATCTGTTAGTCAAAACAACTGTATAAAAATTTGAAGCAAAGTCCTGTTTGCTTTTTTGTGTTTCTATGTAACCAATTTATTTGTGATGCATGTAAGATCTTTTATCAATGATGTTTTGTTTATGAATTCTAAATCTCAATGTTTAGAGCATATCTTAAATATATTGGCCGAAAGTGAAATACAGATTGATCATATTTTGCCTAATTGGAATAAATAGAAATATCCAACTCAAGTATTCATGTGGATCAATGGATAGTTATTGTTGCCAGTTGCACAGCGGTTACACTGGTGTCAATAATTCAGCAAACTCCTTCCTTCAGTGTTGGAAGTAGAGCTTTTGTTACATCAGCACATGACTAGTTTTTCTAATGTAACAAAAGCTCTACTTCCAAGGGTAAATTGTTTGGAACATTGAAATTTGATTTTTGGGTTAACAGTGCATTGAAAAATGATTTTTTGTAGAATATTCACAAATCTTTTGGTTGAAAACAGTTCCAGTTTGTAATACATGATTTATTCTCAACGTACATTCTGAGGAAGGGTCACTGGACCTGAAACGTTAATCTGATTTCTCTCCACAGATGCATGTCAGACCTGCTGAGCTTTTCCAGCAAATTCTGTTTTTGTTTCTAATTTACAGTTCTTTTGGTTTTTGATTTATTTTCACTTGCTTTCATACAAGTACAAATCGGTTTCTCGTAAAAGCAATTTTGTCTGTGCGTACAGAATTTAACCTGAATCATCAAATAGTTAGCTCTTCCTACTATTTTGAGACAAAGAAATCACGATTTGTTTTACAGGAACGATAAAGGATAATCATGAGATAAAAATGAGGCTAGCTGACTTTTTTTGGAAGTGTTATAACTTAGGAATCAATCGAAGAAGAAAGTGTTTTGTGGTTCACTTTTGAGCTAGGCTGAAGAAGATGGAAAAACAAGTGTTATGGTTGTGCAACATAACAAAAATAAGAGCCATTTGCCTCCTCAAGCTTGCTTTCTTCAGTCAGTTAGAATAAATGAGCTTCTACCTTAACTACTCCCCCACTTGCCCCAAAAACCTTGTCATTACTTTAATGCCTGGTATGTGGTGGTCTCAGCCATGAATATCCTCATCTGTGGATTGTTTTAAAAGTTCTTAATCCCCTTTGGGAAGAAATTCTTATCTCTGTGTTTTAAATGATTGACCCTTTATCCTGAGGCAATGATCTCTAGTTAGACGCTCAAGTCAGGGAGGACCTCTGAACATCGAGATAGTCAGGATTTCTACAATCTTTGAAGAACTGCTGATACTTAAGATTTGCAGCAAAAGCAGAAATTGCTGCAGACACTCAGTGGATCTGCTAGCATCTGTGGAGGGAAAGCGGAATTAATGTTTCAAGTTCAATGATCCATTTTCAGAGCTCCTCTTCATTAAGGTCACTGAATTCAAAACATTAACTCTGCTCTCTCTCCCTAGATGCTACCAGTGTTGCTAAGTTATTCTAACAATTCCTGTTTTTGTCTCTGCGAATCCTATACTTTCCAGTGAAATTACTACTCATTTTCTAAACTCCAGAAAATGTAGGCCCATCTTATCTTATCTATTCTTGAATCAATCTTGACTGTGAAGATGTAGTGCCATGAAGATGTAAACGGGTGACCAAAAGCTTGACCAACTAAATTCAAAGATGCAACTTAAATGAGTAGTGGGCTAGAATTATGAAGAGGTTTAAAGTTTTTGGATGAGAGAGATAGTGAGGAAGATTGTGGAGAGGATTGAATGTCGTGAGAATTTTTAAAATAAGGCATTGCCACAATGGAAGGTAGTGAAAGTTAATGAGAACATGGCTGACTGAGATCTTGAGAGTTTGGAAGCTGGTTGGAGGCTTGGAGCAATTTAAGTGTATGGTGAATGGACAATGGCCAGCCTGGAGAGTAAAGAGTACTGTAGTACCTTGTTTGGGATATTTGTGCATAGTCATAACACTTGATCCAGGAGTCATCAGACATGAACATGTTACTGGACGTGTAATTCAGATCTCATTGTAGCAGCACCAAAAGGATCCATCCAGCACATCCTGCTTGTGTCAACCTTTTGAGTTGTCCAGTGAAGATCATTCACCAGTTCTTCAGCTCTAATTCTTCCCCTTTAAGGATATATACAACTCCCTTTTGCAAATCATTATACAATACACTTACATTATCTTTTCAAGCAGCAGAGTCCAAATCATAACTTGATACAGACTAGCAAAAAATTCTTTACAGTTGTTTGCCAGTTATCATAAATGTATGCCCTCTAGTTTCCAACTCATCAGGAAGAGCAGATTCTTGCTATCAACTCCAAACTTCTTTACAACTGAGAATCTCTTAAATCTCTAACGTTCTCTGCTGTGAGACCAACCCCAAGTCTCTCCAAGTAACTGAAGTCCCTTGTCACTGGTACATTTCTCAAATCTCTTCTGCACTATTTCTGAAACCCTTCTGAAAGTGTGGCATCCACAGTTCAATACACAATACTAATTGAGACTTAACCAGTGATTTTGTAATGGTTAAGCACAACTTCGAGATAGTAAGAACTGCCGATGCTGGAGTCAGAGGTAACAGTGTGGAGCTGGAGGAACACAGCAGGCCAGGCAGCATCGGAGGAGCAGGAAAGCTGACGTTTTCCTGCTGAAGGGTCCCGACCCGAAACGTCAGCTTTCCTGTTCCTCTGACGCTGCTTGGCCTGCCGTGTTCCTCCAGCTGCACACTGTTGTCTCTTAAGCACAACTTCACTGTTTTTGTATGCCTTGCCTGTTTCGATGTCAGTAATCCCATTTTTTGTCATATCAGTTTGCCCTGTCACCATCAAAATTTTGTGTAGATGTGCTTCTTTAAAATTGTAACATTTAATTTGTATTGCCTCCCAAAAGATCACTTCACGGTTCTCTGCATTAAATGTAAAATTAAATGCTCAGTCAGTAGAGCATTGGACTTTTAATCTGAGTGTCTAGGGTTCAGGTCCCTGTTCGTGTGCTGCTTTTGGGGCGGCACGGTGGCTCAGTGGTTAGCACTGCTGCCTCACAGTATCAGGGACCCAGGTTCGATTCCACCCTTGGTTTACTGTCGTGGGGAGTTTGCACGTTCTCCCCCTGTCTGTGTAGGGTTCCTCTGGATGCTCTGGTTTCCTCCCATGGCCCAAAGATGTACAGGTTAGGTGTATTGGCCGTGCTAAATTGCTCATAGTGTCCAGGGATGTGCAGGCTTGGTGGATTAGCCATGGGAAATGCAGGTTTACAAGGATGGTGTAGAGGGGTGGGTCCGGGTGGGATGCTCTTTGAAGGTTTGGTGTGCACATGATGGGCCAAATGGCCTGCTTCTATACTGTAGGGATTCTGTGATTCATTGTTTATGACATTGGTGTCATTTACCAATTTGGTGTGTCCCACAGCCAAGCTAGTATCATTAATATATTATCAACAAGAGCAGAGTTCACACTGCCAGATCTTGGGTGACTCCCCTGTACATTTTCCTCCATTCTGAAAACAAACAGCCACAACTGTGAAGGAATTCAATTTTTAAACGAAATTCAAAGTAGGTTTCAAAAATAATGACCAAGAAGTTGTTGATTATTTTAAAATCATGTATTATGTGCACATGTATTGCTTAATAGTTACCAGTTTGCAGTGTGTATATCATTGGAGATGGTGTGATGGGCAAATTTGTCATTCCAAATGACCACTTTGATTCACAACTGTAACTTGGTTTTCATTTCTTAAATTTAGGAACTCAATGACTTGGCTCGCGATCCTCCAGCACAGTGTTCTGCAGGTCCAGTTGGAGATGACAGTGAGTGTTTTAAATGAAATGGTAAAATCAGAAGTGTTTCTTAATATAACACGGGTGTTTTTTTAAGTTCCTTTTAAAACAGAGTTTTTATGAACTATGAAAGAAAACATCAAAGATACTTAAGCGCTTTGGTGTGATTGCATCAAATGTTCTTCACTGACTTTAAATATTTTCTAATCAGCCTGTTCAAAGATGTTGTTACACACCTCATGGGTAGGTGGCTCTTGAACTTAGGACTCCTGGATCGGGGGTAGGGACTTACCACTATGCTACAAGAGCCCCATCACTCACCATTTATAAATGACCTCATTGTCAATGCTTGTCCTGTCACTGTCAGCTGCTATGCAGTTTGAATGCAGCCAATAAAAGGTAGTGCTTTCTGTTAAAGATCAGCCGAAGGTTTAGAATCTTTTTAACTGTCTTGGCTATTTAGCCGACATGGTCACTTTGCTGTGAAAGCCTTGGATTGAACAGATTTCACTTTGGCCTTGGCATCAGTCAGTGTCAAATTCTTTTTATAAAACCAATACCATGTGCTTGGGCAATGTGGGCTGGATTTTGTCCCCATGGCATTGGCTGATTCCATTTCTGGATGTATTGCCCTCCTTTTCATGTTTGGGTGAACTTGGAAAATTTATACCAAATTTAATCAGTCCAAATAGTGTATTGAATACTGCTGTATGCAGTGCTTTTGGATATCTCAGTACAAATAGTAGGTAAATAATCTAGTATCAGGAAATAACTCTTTATTCATACAAAAAGAATTTAAATGGGATGTTCACATTTTACTGTTGCAACTTAACAAATTGGTTCCTTCATTGAAAAATGTAATTATGTGTTATTGAAGTATTTTAACAAACAGGCTTGTCAAACTAATGTAGACAGCATCATAAAGTAGAAGCCCCTTTGGAAGTTAAATACTGTAAGAGCCAAGTTGAAATTTATGTTCTCACCCGGAACGACTAGAGGAAAGTATTAGCATTGTGTAGCCCCAAAGAGCTACATGCCGAGTGAATTAGTTGAATGTATGGAAACATAACTATTGGTACAAGGGTAGATTAGGCATTTCCATATTTAAATTGTTTTCTTTAGAGAATGAGCCATCAAAAAGACACAGCACAGAAGAGGACCATTCAGCTCATCGTGTCCATGCTGACCCAAAAACACCCAGGTGCTGTTTCTAATCCCATCTTCCTGGATGCTGCCCATAGCCTTGCAGCTTTCACCACTTAAAGTGCAGATCCAAGTAGTACTTTGAGGACTTCAAGGTCTCTGCCTCCTCCACCAATTCAGGCAGTGAATTCCAGGCACCCACCACCTTCTGCGTTTTTTTAAAAAAAAAAAAGGTTTTTCCCCACTCCCCTTTAATCCTTCTACCACTTAGCTTGAAACTATGACCCCTGGTTTTTGAACTGTCTGCCAAGGGAAGCAGATTTCTCCTATCTATCTCTACCACTCACTATTTTCTATACCTCAGTCATGTCATATCATCCCTCAGCTTTGTCTGTTCCAGGGAAAACAACCTCAATCTCTCCTCGTGCTATACTTCTCCAGTCCTGGCAACATTCTAGCAAATCTTCTCTGCATTCTCTCCAGAGCAATTACGTATTTCCTGTAATGTGGTGACCAGAATTACATGCAATACTGCAGTTGTCCTCACCAGTGTCTTATACAGTTTCATCATTATGTCCCTGCTTTTGTATTCTGTACCTCTGCCAGTGAAGGAGAGCATTCATATGCCTTCTTTACAACCTTACCTACCTGTACTACTACCTTTAGGAACCTGTACACTTGCATGCTAATTCTCTCACTTCAGTGCTCTGAACTATCTGACACTAAAATGAAGTAGTAGTATTAGCACGTGTGGGACACTATTTGTTTTTAGTACTGTGTAGTGTTCAGTGTTTGATCACTTTGGTTTAAATCTTTGCTTCCTACTTCAGCAACACTACAGCCCAGGCTGCACTGGGGCTTTTCTCTAGTGATTGCCACTTCACCCTTCCCGAAATGTAATTGGAAGAATTTGTAGGAGGACTGAACGTCTTCACGTGAATTTTTGCACTTTTGACAAGCTGCAAGATGATTACTACTTAGCATGAAAATTTTAATTCTGAGCCACACATTAGGAGATCAAAATAACAGGACTGGTGACCAAAGGTTTGAGCAATAACTTTTGACGTATATCTAAAAGCAGATCTTTAGGAAGAAAATTTCAAAGGTAAGGGCATAATTATAAGCAAAGCCAAACTGTTTATAATTAACTGCATATGCTGGCACATGAAGTTCAAATTTTGATTAGCTTGGATAGTTCTACTGTCCTTCCGTGTAGTAATGATGGACAGAAATCTGATCCAGCCATTCTACAATGATTGACTTCCAACTCATCTTTTTGTCAAAGATCTGTAATGGGCAACATAAGTGTTAGCAATTTCAGCAACTTTGCTTAGTTCATTAAAGGAAAAAAGATGATTCTGATGTTCCTTGTTCAAGGGATCATTTTCACTTTTTTCACCAGTAGATCATGTTATGCATGAGGGTGGGATTCCTTGTGAAACCTGTAGAATTACATAGGATTTACATTGCGATCTTAGAAAAAGTCAAGTGCTTGGAATGTGTTAAATATTAAATATGTGTTGTTTAAAGTAGAACTATTTGCACTTCCTTTCATTTATACATGAATTTAGCATTTGCTCTTAAGGTAACTTGCACATAAGTCTTATCGCACTTGAAAAAAACGTAGTATAGTTAGAATAAGTTGTTATGGTTTTATAAAGGGAAAATAATGTTTAACAAATCTTAGTTTTTTGAGGATATAACTAGTAGGCTAGGAACCAGTAGATACTTGGATTTTCAAAAGGCATTTTCTAAGGTGCTACACAGAGTTAATACACATGATATATTAGCACGGATGAAGATTGTTTATTGAACTAGACTTGTTAAGGGGACAAATGGGGCATATTCAGGTTGGCAGGCTGTGACTAATGGAGTGCTACAAGGATGCTGTTGGAGTCTTGATAGTTGCAATCTGTGTTAATGACTTGTACAAAGAGTCAGAACAATATACTGGAATGTAAGCCATGAGGAGGGCACAAGGTTACAGCAGTTTCAATGTGGAGGGGAGTGGACAACATTGCAGAGTTAGTATAATGTGGTGATGTAAAGCTATTCACTTTGGCTATAAGAGTAGAAATTTTTTTTTAAAGGCATGATACACAGTTTTCTTTGAATATTTACAAGTATTTATAGATGGAACACGAAAATTAGATTGCAGGTACAGCAGGCAATTGCAGTGCATGGCATGCTCCTCTTTATTGCAAGAAGAATGAAGTACAAGAATGAATCTTGCTACAGTTGTATCAGGGATGATCACACCTGGAATACTGTGCAGTTTTGGTTTCATGTTTCAGGAAGGATATTCTTGCATTGCAAGCAATAATTTTCCAAAAATGCTTAGCTTCTGGAGACATACCAGAGGATTGGAAAACTACCAATGAGACGCCCCTATTCAAAAGGGAATGATGCATAAAGCATGTTAACTATAGGCCAATTAGCCAAACATCAGTTGGAAAAGTATTGGAATCAAATATTAGGGAAGTAGTAGTAGGATGTTTGGAAATCATAATTTAATCAAGCAGAGTCAGCATACTGTCAAGAAAGAGAAATCTGACTAATTTATTGACTTTCTTCAAGGAAGGCTCACCCAGAGTGGATAGAGGGGACCCTGTAGATGTGTTGTATTTGGACTTCCAGAATGTGTTTGACTAGCTCACAAACAGATTTGTCATTAGGAAGAAGGAGCATTTGTCAGGTATAGACAGTTGGGATCAAATGAATCCCTAGAGGAGTACAAGGGCAGTAGGAGCATACTCAAGGGAAATTGGGAGGGGACGTGAGAGTGCAATGGCAGATAATATTAAGCAGAATCCAAAGAGATTCCACAAATACATTAAGGACAAAGGAATAACCAGGGAGAGACTAGGGCCCCTTAAAGACCAACAAGGCTGTTTGTATGGAGCTGCAGGAGATGGGTGAGATACTAAAACAGTATTTTGCATCAGTTTTTACTGTGGAGAAAGATATGGAAGCTAGAGAACTTGGAGAAATAAATAGTGATATCTTAAGGTATCCAAATTACAGACATGGAGATGGTGGACGTCTTAAAACGCACAAAGGTGGCTGTATCCCCAGGGCCAGATTGGGTGTTTCACAGAATTTTGTGGGAAGCTAGGGAAGTGATTGCTGGGTCCCTTGTTGAGATATTTGCATCAATGATAGCCACAGGTAGGTGCTGGAGACTGGAAGTTGGCTAATGTGCTGCCATTATTTAAGAAAGGTGGTAAGGAAAAGCCAGAGAACTATAGAACGGTGAGCCTCACATTGGTGGAGGGGATTTTGAGGGACAGGGTTTACATGTATTTCAAAAGGCAAGGATTAATTAAGGATCGTCAACATGGCTTTGCATAGGAAATTGTCTCACTAACTTGATTGAGTTTTTTTGAAAAAGTGATAGAAGATTGAAGGCAGAACTGTGGACATTGTCTTTGTGGACTTCAGCAAAGTGTTTTAACAAGGTTCTGCGTGGCAGGCTGTTTACCAAGGTTAGATCACATTGGAATACAGGGAGAGCTAGCCATTTGTATACAAAAGTTGGTTTGCAGGGAGGAAACAGAGTGGTGGTGGAGGGTTGCTTTTTGAACTGGAGGCCTGTCATCAGCGGTGTGCTGCGAGGATTGGTGCTGAGTCCGCTGCTTTTTTGTCATTTATATAAATGATTTGGATGTGAGTACAGGAGGTATGGTTAGTAAGTTTGCAGATGACACAAAAACTGGTGGTGTAGAGGACAGCGAAGAGGGTTATCTCTGAGTACAGTGGGACCTTGATCAGATGGGCCAAGAAGTGGCAGCTGGAGTTTAATTTAGATAAATGTGAGGTGTTGCATTTTGGAAAGGCAAATCAGGGCAGGACTTATACACTTAATGGTAAGGTCCTGAGAGTGTTGCCGAACAAAGAGACCTTGGTGTGCAAGTTCATAGTTCCTTGAAAGTGGAGTTGCAGGTAGACAGAATAGTGAAGAAGGCATTTGATCCACTTGCCTTTATTGGTCAGTGATTGAATATAGGAGTTGGGGGTCATGTTGCAGTTGTACAGGACATTGGTTAGGCCAGTTTTGGAATACTGCATTTAATTCTGGTCTCCCTGATATAGGAAAGATGTTGTTAAGATTTGAAAGGGTTCAGGAAAGATGAACAAGGTTGTTGCCAGGGTTGGATGATTTGAGCTATAGTGGGAGGGTGAATAGGCAGGGGCTATTTTCCCTGGAGCATCGGAGGCTGAGGATCTTAGAGGTTTATAAAATCGAGGGGCTTGGATAGGATGAATAGCCAAGGTCGTTTTCCCAAGGTAGGGGAGACCAAAACTAGAGGGCATAGGTTTAAGATGAGAGGAGAAAGACTTAAAAGGGACCTGAGGGGCAACTTTTTTATGCAGAGGTGCGTGTATGGAATGAGCTGCCAAAGGAAGTAGTGAACGTGGGTACAATTACAGCATTTAAACGGCTGCTGGATGGGTACATGAATCAGAAGTGTTGAGAGAGATATGGGCCAAATGCTGGCAAATGGGACTAGATTAATCTAAGATATCTGGTCGGCATGGCCGAGTTGGATCAAAGAGTCTGTTTCCATGCTGTACATCTTCGACTCTTAAGAGCCCCTGTTGGAAGTAGTGTACTGGCATAGATAGAAAGTCAGCTAATGGGCAGGAAACAGCAAGTGGGTTTAAGGGGTTCTTTTGCAGTTGGTGACCTGCGACCCACAGGGATCAATATTAGGACCTCAGCTGTTTACATTTTATATATATGACTTGGAGGATGCAGTAAATCTATTGGAGCCAAATTTGCTGATGACACAAAAACTAAGTGGAAAGGCAGATTGAGAGAATGATGCAGTTTACACAGACACATTGATAGGTCAACTAAGTAGGCAAAAAGTTGGCAAATTTATTATAATGTGGGAAAATATGAAACCCATTTTGGAAGTGAGAACAAGGAAATGGAATGTTATCTAAATGGAGAAAAATTGCAGCAAGTTGCAGCACAAAGGGACTTGGGTGTACTTGTGCACAAAACAGAAAGCTAGCACATGGGCAGCAGGTAATCATGAGGAAAGATCACATTTCATTTGTCTGCACAGAGGGAACCTTGTAGGTTTAAGCTATAGAAGCTTTCATTTCCTGTCTCCTTTAACAGTTTACATGAATAGGTAGAAATATTGGTTCACAAAAAGTAGCATTCTGGTGTTCAGTGCTGAATGGTTTGCATGCCTCAAAAATGGGCTGAGGACTTGATTTGGTTTTCTTCATTCTGTAAATATATTTTGTCTCTAATGATTTTTCAACAATTTTAAGTAAGGTTTCTTCGTGCTATTTTGGCATTGAGGCAAGGAATACTTGGCCTTTAATTTAAAACGAAGTCTCCAGTAAGCAATGTCTCATACATAGAAACGTGGGGACTGCGTAATGCATTTATGACAAAGATCTTGGCGATGGTGTCAGGTTTATTTTTTTTTCCTGCTTTGATTGATGGCCCCCTCTTTGTGGAATTCGTAGAATGAGGAAATGACACCTATATTCAGTATCATTTCTATTCATGGTCAAGCCGCAGATGGAGAAAAATTTGCACAGATGTAGACATGTCGCGTCGATTTGCCTGTCACTTTTCAATTTCTTTTGACAATTTCAACTTCCATCATTCTCCTTGGCAGATGTTTCTAGATCATTAGGAATCGGAGTAAAGTAAAATAATTTTTCCTCACATTCTCACTGTGGCTCTTGCTGTGTCCCCTCATCTTTCTAACATTGACTTCACCTACCTTTATCTAAACCTGTCATAATTGTGTGGACCTTTATAAAATCTTACGTTTTGCATCTTGCACTGAATGAGATTAATTCCAGTTGCTCCAACCCGACTTCAACTACAAAACATTCCTTGTCGTTTCCAGTCAATCTCTGTATCCTCTCAACGTATTTGTCTTTTCTGAAGTGTGGTAACCAGATTTGGCCAACACTCTCGTTGTGGCCCATCTTGTGTTATCTTTAAAAGATTAGTTGGAGTATGTGAAATAGATTTTAGGGTTATTATTTTGTAGGTTTTGTTCTGGCATGACCTATGCTTTATATATCTGTGCTGATTATACTTAATTCTGACTGGACAGTTTGATCCACTTCTGGGAGTGTAGAAAATCATGGCTTGCTTACTAATGTGAGTTTGGATGGTTAGGCTTTAAAATGTTTAAGGTTTTGTTCTTAAGCAGTTAACTGTTCAACTTCCGAATGGATTCACAATCTTGATTGCAACATATAATGGATATAGCTATGAAAAATATTTGCTAATATCTTTCTAGTTGGGTGACTAGAAATGATCTTTCTTTTGGGTACATGTCTGACCATCACTTCAAAAATGTACAATGGCTCAACTTAATTTAGAATGATATCCCAAGTAATGGCACATTTCATTAATGTGTGGTGTGCATTTTATTATCTGATTTTTAAACTGAATGTTATATTGGATATGACTACAAATCTATTAATTATTTTCCTTCAACCCTCTGTATTGGCTAATGGAGCATGCAACAATCCAAAGTAATTTACATTTCATACTAATGGCCAGTATTTCTTTTTTCTTAGTGTTTCACTGGCAAGCCACAATCATGGGACCTGTAAGTATTTATTCAAAGTTTGATATGCAAATGTCTATTATTAAAGGATTGTAAAATTAATTTTCATTTCTCTCTCAACAGAATGACAGTCCATATCAGGGTGGAGTCTTTTTCTTGACAATTCACTTTCCTACAGACTACCCTTTCAAACCACCCAAGGCAAGTATAGATGTTAAGTGGTGGTATTTAAAATGTAACTAGTCTGACAACATCGTGTTTAAATCATTAAAGCATTGTAGTGAGGAGGGATAACCAAGCTTTTGGGGATAGTGTGTGTGTGGGGGTGGGGGTGTGGGTGTGGTGTGTGGTGGGACATTATTCCACTTCTGCATGTTAAATTTCCACAATAGATGGATGTAAAATAGACCAATTGTGGTTCTTGCAATTAATCTGTATGTTAGTGAATTGCTTCATTTCCTGACTGTCATGGTTCACGTCTTCTGAGTTCCTGAACAAAATTCTCGTCCTGTGTTTCTGCACTCCTTAGGAAGGGACTCGAGTTATAGAATTGGTTTTCAAGGTTTATAATATATTAGATTTCACCACACTTCTGTTATTGCTGATGCTTCTTCATGAGGCACGCAGTCCCTATCAACATGACTGGTATTAACCTGTTTAATGTTGGATGGCATCATAGCTGGATGGGTTTCTACTCGCTGTCTTTCCCGTAGTTGTCTTACCATAAGGAGCTTTTCAATTTAGAATTGCAGCACTTAAGCTATTAGCTGATTGGTAAGATTTTTACTAGTTAGCTGATCCCAATGTGTGTGGCCTGTTGCTAGAGTGAATGTTGTCTTTATCCAATAGGTTAATTATGGAACCTTTCTGAGTTCATTTATTTTAGACATTACTGTTGGCATTACCAATTGCAACCGTGCTTTACAGGTCAGTCCAGATGAGCATTTCCACAGGATTGTAAAATCAGCAAGTGACCCACAATGAGGCTAACATTTTTATTTTTACTGATCGGAGGAACTGGGAGGGTTTAAACTAACTACGCAGGGCATGGGGAACCAGGAGAGCATATTGGAAGGTACTACCAGGATGCACAAAATGCTGGGAGAGACAGTGCTGAAGTTGAGAATGGTGTGCTAATAGGTGGTGGGGAATAAGACGGAAAGTATCGAATTCTTGATCGGAGTTATACCGCATGTGTGTAAACATGCGGAGTATTAATGCTGAACATGGGTATTGCAGGCACAGATTACTATGTAAGATTATGATGTGGCCATAATGGAGACTCAGCTTTTAAGAGAGCGGGTGTTCTGCATGTTAAATATTCCTGGTCACAAAAATATTTGCTTGGGGGAAAGACAACAAGGAGGTGGTGTTTTTGTTTGAGTGGGGCATTACAATCCTGGCGAAAGGTTAATGGTGTTTAAAAGCAGAATCAATTCGGCAGGAGCTAAGATTAAGAAGGGTCTTAAGTACATTGTTTGATGTAGTCGCCAGTTTACAACCATTAAAGAGGGTTGAAAGGTGCAAATCTGCAACAAAATTAGAAAGTTGTCATACTGGTTGTGGGAACTTTAATTATCCCTATATGCAGTAGGAGAGTTTAATGCAAGGCGTAACTGGGACAAGCCTTCCTGGATTGTGTTCAAGAGAATGTAATAGTGTCCAGTCCAGGGAAGAAGACACTGCTAGACCTTTTTCTTGGAAATGTGATGGGATAAGTAGATCATAAGGTTGAGGATGACAGTGGGCAGTGATGTTAGTTAATCGATCACAAATATCGTCAGCAGAGAGCTGACTTCAAGGGGGAAAGAATGGAATTGGGACCAAAGGTTGGTGGGGAGAAAAGCCATGTTTGAAGAGGTTATAGCTCATATTCAAGGTAGTTTCCAAAAGGGAAGGGTAGGACAAACAAATCCAGAGCTCCCTGATCATAAATGAGATTGAAGTTAAGTTCTTGAAGAAAAGGTGTGCTTATGACAATTTAGGTAGTAAACACCATTGAGAACCAAGCTGAATACAAAGTTCAGATGGAGGTGAAGAAGCAAAAGGGATTATGCAAAAAGATTGGCAGCTAACATCAAAGGACAGTCCAAATATTTTTGTAAATACACCAAAAGGAGGATAAAGGAGTATGGCATAGATTTAAAGTGATGAGAGTTTTAAAAAAAAAAAGCTCAGTGAGTAGTTAGGGCCTGGAATGTATTGCCTGGAAATGTCTTGGAGGCAAGTTCAATTGAGGCATTCCAGAGTGCATTGGGTGACTGTTTGAATAGAATTGGTGCTCAGTGATATGGGGAAAAGGCAAGAAATTTGCACTAGATAATAGAACTGGTGCAAGTCTAGTGCAGACTGGGTGAAAATCTTGGAGTTCGCTTCCTAGTGGCATTGTAGGTCTACCTACTGCACCTGGACCACAGCAGTTCAAGAAGGCAGCTCACCACCACTGTCTCGAAGGCAACCATAAACGGGCCCAGCCAGCAACACCAATGGTCCATAGATGAAGGAAATAAATGAACAGAAGACCTGTAAATATACATGCAAAGGTCGGGGAAGGTAGGACAGGTAGAGAGCTGTTAATAAAGAATACGATCATAGAGACCTACATCACAGAAAAAGGCGCATTCAAGTCTGTGCCAGTCAAAAATAAGCAGTTTATTATTCTAATCCCATTTTCCAGCTCTTGGCCCATTGCCTTGCATGCCTTGGAATAAACACATCTAAATAATGTTTAAATGAAATGAGAGCTACTGCCTGTTTGTTCCAGGTTCTCACCATCTTCCAGGTGAAAAAAACCATTCCTCTTAAGCCCTCTTAAACTCCTGTTGTTTACCTTAAGTTTATGCCTCTTGGACATTAGTCCTGTCACTAAAGGGACAAGTTCTTTCCTTTCTGTGCCACATACAATTTTATACATCTCAGTTGTGTCCCTCCTCAGTTCCCCCTGTTCCAAGGAACACCCCAGTCTATCCAATTGCAGAGCCCAAAACTGCCCTCAGTATTCCAAATACAGTCTTCTGCCAGTCAGCCAATCTTGTATCCTTGTCAGTAGCTTGCCCCTAACACCAGTTCCACTGTTATCTTATTTAACAGCCTCCTTTGCAGTGCCTTGTCAAAGGCCTGGAAATCCAGATAGATCGCGACTATTGGCTCTCTTTTTGTCTAACTTGGTCATTACCTCCTCAAAGAATTCTAACAGATGTTAGGCATGACCTTTCCTTGATGCAGCTGTGCTGACTCAGGCTTATTTTGCCATGCACTTCTAAAAATTCTGCAATCTCATCCTTAATAATAGACTCCAAATTCTTACCAACACCGAGGTCAGGCTAACTGTCTTCAGTTTCCTGTCTTCTGCCTCTCCTCTTAAACAGGTGTTTTGTTAGCCATTTCCCAGTATGCTGGGACCCTCCTTGACTCTAGTGATCCCTGAAAGATCACTGCTAATGCCTCTACAATCTCTTCAGGTATCTCCTTCAGACCTCTGAGGTGTAGCCCATCTGATCTGGTGTTTTACCCACCTTCAGACCTGTTAGTTTCCCCAGCACTACCACCTCAGTGATGGCCACTATACTCATCTCTGCCCTCTGACTCTTGAAGTTCTGGTATGCTGCTGGTGTCTTCCACTGTGAAGACTGCAAAATACCTATTCAATTCCTCTGTAATTTGTGTTCCTCACCTGTAAACAATGAGTTAATTGGCTAATTGTCATTATTGAATATGTACTCTATGCAAATAATGCTTGGACTTTGTTTTGCTTTGAGGTTTAATGCTGCATCCAAAAGACCAAATCTTTGGCAGTGTGGAACTACTTTGGTGTTGTGCTCAAACCTCTGAAATGGGACTTGAAATCACAAATATGAGATAGGGAATGCTGTCTCTTAACCAAGTTGATACTTGACACGATAGAAGGCAGTTGCTCAACTTCCAAACAAATTCAAAACTAAAGGGTGGAGTCCTTTATATGGATCTTATAGTTGCTAGGGATCTAGAGAAGATCTGTGTTTGGTATAAATTGACTTGCTGTTAAAATTACTGTTTTGATACAGTTTGGGTGGCTTTTCTTCAGAATTTTGATTCCAAATGTACACAATTGGTCTTGAGTGGGCTGAGACCTGGCGACCATGTGTGTTGTTCTGTTGCTGTGTGTTTACTATTTAAGGTCACTGTTCTGACTTCTCTACTAGGAATCAATCTTAGTCGGAGTTAATTGTAGGATGCCCTAGATTTTTCTGTCTTGTTCAGTACCTCTCGTTATCTACCATTTTAGGACTAACTTTTTTAAGGCTGCTCAATTGTGAATTGCTCAATTTTTCATAGGTTGCTGCAACTAAGTATTTATGAAGAGACAACTAAGACTTGTTAGTGCGTTTAACACTAGTTAATGAGCTGTTTTAAGTTTCACAGTTGCATGAGGTTTTGGCATTGATTGGTTAATTGTTTTTATCCACTTAATATTAGACTAAACTTGGCGCATGCACTATTGTCTCTGGTGCAGGTTGAGTAAAGATTTTTTTCTTTCTTGCAGGTTGCGTTTACTACAAGAATTTATCATCCAAATATTAACAGTAATGGCAGCATCTGTCTTGATATTCTAAGATCACAGTGGTCCCCTGCGTTAACTATTTCTAAAGGTACAGTGAAACTAATCTTTTGTTACTTTTTGAAGAACAACATCTATAGCATAGCACTTTTCCAGGAAAAGTGGCTTCAATTAGTCTTGGGTTAACAGAGCGCTAAGAGTCCCGCAATAATTGCTCGTACACTTTTGAGCTTTGCCTGCTAATTGTTAAAAATAAAATAAGCAGTTAATGAAGGAAATAAATTGAAATGCTGGAAGTGGATTCTTGGTCATTTTTCTGCATTGACAGTATTTTCTAAGAGCCACATTGGGGAAAGTCAAGTGTTAGGACTACATATCCATATTTTTGAACTATGTTAAAAACGAAACTAGAAGATATTAAACTGTTTGGACACTGGTTTAAACAGGGTTCACCAATGAGTGAGGTCAACAGTTTAATGTCTAGAAGCTGCTGATTCCAAAAAGCCAAATAACTTTGGAAAAACATCCAAGCAGGGCTTTTAGGAGATAAGATAGATGGAGTTTATTGGCTTTAATTGCATGAAAACTTGTTTGTGGAGCCTTGTGCTGGTGTCTGCCTAGCCATCCTTTCTGTTCAGGAGGAGGGAAAATCCTCTAAAACTTGCAGTAGTCTTTCACCTGTGCCAGTGTGTGCCCTGTCAAAGCAGAAGGAACCCTCCCTATCACGCGGCTGTGTTGAACCAAAATTGGTGAAAATACATCTTCCTAGCACTGGGTTCAGTGAATATAACCAGTTAAAATGCTAGGTTTAGTATTTTGCCCTAATTTTATTTTGCTAACTGGATTTTTTTTCTGGTGGGTAGTTTGCATTGCAGGTTTTGATTGACTTTGCTTCAATCTCTAAAACTTCAGATGTTGCTTTTCAAAGGCTAAATTTCGTTAACAGTTTAATTTTGGAAATACCTTCATCAACCATATCTCCCCATAATTTTTTAAATTGCAACAAGCCGGATGAAAACTAAGTTTTGGTGAAATAATGAGATTTTTTTCAGCAACGTTCAGTTAAACGGAGCCAAATAAAATGACTGATGGTTATAAATCAAGTCTAAAATTTAGCAAATGGTTGGAATGAAACTTTGTCATTACGTACGTCCAGTTTATCAGAACAAATTAATTTGGTTTCCTTTGTATATAATTTGAAGAACCATTTCTTCAGAGACAGTTTCTAGAAATGTTAATTAAATGTTAGAAATTTTTGTGAAGGAGCATGGAATGCCTTACAATGCCTCATTACTTTTATTACAATAAATCTTTCCTTTTACCTAATCTATTTATATTTTGTATGCCATTGCACAATTCTGTAGCAGGTCTCCAATACATTGCACCTAATCATAAGCAAATTTATTCCAACCTAGGCAAATTTATAGGCACATTTGTTCTATCTCAGCTGACTAGGTCATTCCTCCAATTTGACTGGCAGCCTTGACTTCCACTATTTTGATAGCTTCAGCAACCACAGCCAAGTAAGTCTAAACAAACAAAAACAACTGAACAACTCATTATGTTAGTGCAATTATAGTTAAGTTTAACATTTTTAAAACGATTCTCAAAATTAGGATATTCTACTTTCTATCGATTTCTCCAGATGTCAGTTTAATATGTCATGACTATTTAATTGATTTGTTGATTAACTGAAATTAGAGTTCTGATCTGCATTGCAACCTGTGGCAAGATTCTGCAGAAGTTGCACCCTGTCATAAAGGGATAAGCATACAAACATCTCAACATTTACTTGACCCTGTGTGTAAATGGTCCAAGAACTTGCAAATAGCTCCATCTGTTCAGCTTCTGTTTTAGTATGTTCAATAGGTACTTGAGGGCATTCAGCCTTACTCCTTTCATCTCCCTTTGACAATATTCAACTTCATTGGTCCTTCCCTATTTCTTCTCTGTCTTGCCCTTCTTCACAGCCATGACGCCCTGATAACTGAGACACCAGAGTTTGAGGTTAAACTGATAACTAATGGCTTATCATACTGCAAAAACAGTGAGATTGCAGAAATATCTCTCCACTTGCAACAGCCCAGCTACAGAGACATTCTGACCTTGAATAAACAAGTGCATTCTGTACGTTTTTCAGGGGCAGGGGGGTTGCGGGAAGTAATTTTTATTTTCAACTAGTCATGAAAACACAATGTAAGAAATAGGAATGGACACTTCGGCCCCTCAACTTCTGTCAGTCATTAAGACTGTGGCTGATCTTCCTGTGCCTCTGCATCTGTTTAGGGAAAAAAAAATCCTGTGCTCCCTTGTCAGTAACTCAAACTTGGATATATGTAATCTCCCAGCCTGTTCACTGGGGTAGGTGGATTCCAAACATGTTAAACACTCGGAGGAATTTCTGCACCTCCATATCAACTGGGAGACTCCTGATTTTGAAGTTATGTTCATTAGCTCAGAGTTTCCCTGTTGAGGTGAAGCATCCTCTCAGCACCTCTGTCAAACCTCCACAAATCTGTATATATCAGTGAGATTATTTCTCCTGTAAACTCTAGAACATGAGTCGAATGGCCTACTCCTGTGCCTTTGTTCCAGTATTTCAATGAATACAGGCCCAAACTGTTTAACCTTTCCCCTAGGTGCAGTCGCACTTGTGCTGTGTCCAGTTGCAGCAAGACTTCCCTGCTTTCTGACTCCGCTTCCTTTACAAAAAAAGGTCAACATTGCTCTTGCCTTCTTAATTACTTGTAATCTAACATTTTGTGGTTAATGTACAATGACGCTTGTTTTGTATTTAAATTCCTTACCTAATCCTTGATTCAACCCAAAGATTTTAATTTTCCTCCATCCTAAGTAAACGTTAACTAAAACTAATAATCTAATTGCCCCTAAACAACCCTCAGCTTCCTCAAACGCGCACCTACCACATTTCCTTTTGAACATCAACTTACTTCCTATTCAAATAATTTAACCTGCACATTGCAATAAGCGATAACTTGAAAGATGTTCCAGCAGTAATGGTTTAAAAGTAGTGGTGCTCTACCAATGTATAATGGTAAAACCAGAGGATCTGGTGTATTTGGATTTTCAAAAAAAAATGTTGATACATGAGGTTATTACGTAGTGCTTATGGTACAGGTAATAATGTATTAACATGAATTAAAGATTGATTAATGAACAAAACAAAAAAGAAATAAACAGGTAGTTTTCTGGTTGACTGCTATTAACAAGAGGAATGTTGCAAGGATTAGTTTGTGGATTTTTATTTATAAATTTTATAACCATGCTAAAGATCCAGCGCCATGTATGCATCTACATTTGCTGATAATGCAAAGTTAGGTTGGAATATAAGCTGTGAAGACAACACAGGCTGTAAAAGGATCTTGACAGCCCACATGAGGTAGCTTGGCGTAGGGACTATAATTTGAAAAAAGAACAGTACAGCACAAGAACAGACCTTTCAGCCCAACAAGCCTGCACTGACGCATGATGTGTTTCGAAACAAAAAACCTTTTGACTCTGCACTGCCCATATCCCTTGATTCCCTGCCTTTTTCGTATATCTGTCATGATGTCTCTTAAGCGTTGCTGTTGTATTTGACCAGATTAAATTCCATCTGCCACTTCTCCCCACGACCCTCTAGGCTACATGTATCCTGCTGTACCCTCTGGCAATTCTCCTCATTATCCACAGCTCCCACAACTTTTGAGTCGTCCCCAGACTTACTAATCAGATCACCTACATTCTCTTCCAAATCATTTAAACAAAGGAATAGCATTGGCTAGGCTCCAGTCTTCTGGGACCTCAACTGTGACTAAAGAGGATACAAAGATTTCTTACAAGGCCTCAGAAATTTCCTCCTTCCCCTCCATCAGTATTCTAGGATAGATCCCATCAGAACCTTAATGTTTTTCAAAACATCCAACACCTTTTTTATTTTGGTATTCCTTAGAATGTCAAACACGCCTGACTGCACAATGTCAACATACCCCTCTCTGGACACATGCATATGTTCTGTCCTTTATCCTTGAGTAGACCTACCCTTTTCCAAGCTATCCTCTTGCTCATTTTATACCTATGAAAAGCCTTGAGATTTTCCTTTAATCCTGTTTGCCATTTTGTAGCCCCTCGTGTATTCACGATTCTAAAACGAAACTAAAAATGAGAACTTGGCTGAAAGCACATTCTAATTTACAACCAAAGGATTAATCCAGGTGTCACTTCATAGTATAAAGTTGAAGGAATAACCACATTACATTGTGTGCTTCTGTAAATTTTAATTGGATTTATGCAAAGTTCTGTGGTCACCTGATACTTTTTGAAAATTTTAATACTACTTACGGCATCTTAAATGCGCAAAAGAGGTGCAAAGCTAATGAGGACATGAAATGTATGAGATGTGGAAGACTCATTCAGACAAGCGTTTTGGTGGAGCCTGGTACAAAGTTGTTTTGGACTGTGAACTATCATAGCTGTAAGGTGCTTGGCACAGAAAATTTCAAGTTGCAATTTTATTGCAAAAGAAGCTTTTGGAAAACCATATCCAGTACATGGACAGTAAAATTTATCCTTCTGGACGCTTTGAGTAATCGCACATGGTGAATGCTTGCTAGTGAAATCCATTGTATCTCTATTACTTTGAAAGCAAAAACCTTCAAGAGGATGTTGGGCAGTATTACAATTCAGTAACTGAATTGAGGCATTAACTGTCAATTCAAATTTCAATTTTCTAGTTTCTCCAAGTATAATTTGTCCAAATAATGGTGTACATGGTAAATGCTAACTTCTGACAAACTGATGTTTTACTTGCACTGAAGACTGGGAATATTCAAAGAAAGTGATATTATGCATCTTGAGAGGTTTTTCTTAGAATCATTTGCCTCATTCAAACCGAAATAGAGTAAATATGTGTTTCAGAAGAGTGACAGTTTATGGAAAAACTTTAATTGCTGATATTTGTTTTGCAGTACTATTGTCCATTTGTTCACTGTTATGTGATCCAAATCCTGAGGACCCGCTAGTGCCAGAGATTGCACGTATATACAAAACAGATAGGGAAAAGTGAGTATCCTTGCATGTTGCATTTTCAACGTCGAACTTTGGTTTAACATTTTAACTGTGCAGTTTTCCAATATTTATTTGCAGTCCCAAACGGCTATTTTGTGTAAAATTCAATTTTTTGGAATGGTGAAGTATTTTGATGTATTTCACATATTCTTCAGGAATACTAACAGCTTGGTTACTATGGGTCATCACTTTCATGCTGAAAGATGCTGTGGATTGCTGCTACATCTACATAATCTCAAATTAAAATGAGAAGCATGTTCTCAACAGTGTACTTAAGATCTAAAATGCAATAACAGTTTTATAAGTTTTTTTTTAAGTTCTCATTGTGTCAAGTCACCGTTCCTAGATTTAGGTTTCTAAACTGTTCATCTGGTATTTTCAGATTACAGCCATTTCGAGTGATCATTGTGTTAAAATGTGATCCCTGCTAGTTGTGCAACCTTTTCTAAATTCTCACCCTCTTAACCATCTTATGTTTTTGTGGCTCAACTCTGTAAGTCAAGGTTGGTCAAAATATTTGTTTTTTTTTTTGTGTGCCTACAAGTACTATTAGCTATTTGTAGGGGTTTATTAGGATTGCAGTTGCCACTCAGCAGCTATCTTCAAAAGACCTTGCTGCCTGAAGCAAATATTCCAGCGGAATGTTGAAGACTGGCAATGCTCTGAGAGCCCTAGTTCTATGCCATTTACAGTACTCAGTTAAGCAGTGTAATGTTCTGTTTATGGTTATCGGTTGTTGTACTGAGAAAGGCTTCCCAAACTTGTACTGTTGCCCAAACTAAACCAAATTCATGGGTGTTGAAAGCCATGGTGCTCAACTAACCATCGGTGCATTAATACCCTGCATCACTTTCTAAATAAAGACTGTTGCTATGGTCTGAGAACTGAGAAAGAAGATGCACGGTACGATTTTGAGAATGCTGGAGAAGAGATGCTAGTTGTGATGTTATAGGTTTTGAGTGTTTATTCATTTTTTAAATTCCAAGAAGAACTGAAGCAGGGTCTGACAGTCACCTGACAGTTTTGGATGAGCAAATCAGTGAAGTAAGATTCCCGAAACACTCAAGCAATTTTGTCTGAAGGTGAGCCTTGGCCAAGAGCAAGAACAGCCTTAAGATCCTGAAGAAGCTAGCTTACACATTTCCTAGAAATGGATCTTCTGGGAAGGTTATGTTTCTCTGAAATTGAACAAAGTCAGGAATGACCATTTTAACGTAAGTAAAAATTGAAAGAACTGTAGATGCTGTAAATCAGGAACAAAAGCAAAGTTGCTGGTAAAGCTTAGCAGGTCTGGCAGCATCTGTGAAGGAAAAAACAGTTAACTTTTCGGGTCC